TGTTGTTACATAGCTTGGGAAGTCAGACAAGCCTGGGCCAAACCTTAGCCCACCTGTGCTACCACCTGTGCTACCTTCAGCTCTCCTACCCTCATTTGCAGCTCAACTTTCCCTCATTTATACACTGGAAACAAAAGTATTTAGCCATTACAATGAGATTTCAAAATAGCAAGTGCCAGCATGATGTTTGGCATAAAGGAGATGCTCCGTTAAAGGGACATCGGCCATACTGACTGATGGTCCTTCCTGCAGGCAGTAGAATAAGGGAGCAACACTACAGGATCGCCTCTCACAGCCCTACCCCTTTGCTATGCACAGGTGTTTTCATAGTCCTCCTGACAAGCTGGTGAAGGGGCCCTGTGAGTACTCCCATTTATGGTTGGGAAAATCAAAGTCAGAATGCTTCAAGATATTATCCAACACATAACTGAAAGGCTTCCCCAAGAAACTCACTCAAATACATGGTCACTGTAAGGGTTGCCGTAAGGAAACTCCTACACGGTTCAAGGGAAGAGAGTTTATTGAGAGAGGGAGAGAGTAAACCGCCAGCAGCACCAGACGAAGTAGGGCAGAGCAAGAGGGATTATGGAAGGAGGAGAGAGATTATATAGGGGAGGACAGGGGAGGGAATGTGGCGACAGTGAAAGCAGAGAATGACCTCAAAGGCTGGGAAATAACCTCAGAGCCTGGGGTCCTCCCACTGCCCCAGGCATGCCAGTTGCCTAGGTTACAGGTGCTGGGTGGGGACTTGTAAGGTGCTTGGGGAGAGAGCCAAGGAAAGGGACATTTCTCCCAGGCAGACCTTTTGATAGTTATAAAGGGGCGCCAACTCTTTCTGGCTACTTCTGCTGACAAAGGGCGTCGACATTAGGGGTAGAAGGCAGAGATGTTCTCCGGTCCAGGAGAAGGCAGTGCTTAACAGTTCCTTGGTGGTGAATATGCACATGTGTCTTTAGATGAAATCTGAAAGAAGTCTTACCAGGCAGGGGCTTGTGAAGTGGAAAGAAGAGCAGGTGTACCTTGGAGCATCATCGGTATAGAAGGGGCAGGAGTAGAAGCCTTTTTACTCTTTTTTTTGTTTTTTGCCAATCCTGGGGCTTGAACTCAGGGCCTGTACTCTGTTCCTGAACTTCTTTTGCTCAAGGCTAGCACTCTACCACTTGAGCCACAGTGCTACTTCAGACTTTTTCTGTGTATATGGTACTGAGGAATCATCCCCAGGGCTTCATGCATGCTAAGCAAGCACTCTACCATTAAGCCACATTCCCAGCCCCACTTTTTTACTCTTTTTTTTTTTTTGTCAGTCATGGGGCTTGAACTCTGGGCTTGGGTATTGTCCTTGCACTCTTCAACTCAAGGCAAACTGTCTACCTCTTGAACCACAGTGGCACTTCCAGTTTTCTGGTGGTTAATTGGAGATAAGAGTCTCACGGACTTTCCTGCCTGGGCTGGCTTTGAACTGTGATCCTCAGATCTCAGCTTCCTGAGTAGCTAGGATTACAGGCGTGAGCCACCAGCACCCAGCCCCTTTTCTACTCTTGACAGAAGAAACCACTGTGGCTGTCCACGCTTAACTGCAGTGGTAGTGGTCAGCAGGACCTGATAAGGGGCTGTCCACTAAGTCCACTAAGGATATAACCAGGCAGATTAAGGGTCTTGAGAAAGACTTGATTCCCACCAAAACTGGGGGAGAAGGAAAGGGGCCTTGATGAGTTGAAGGAGACATGGGAATTTAGAGAGTAAATCCCTCCCTAGAAGAGGTATGGGATAGGGGGATAAGATGATAAAGGAATGTGAAAAAGCAAAGATATCTATTCCTCGTGGGACCAGTCTGTTAGTTGCAGAGCAAGTAGGAAGCTTGTCTGCACCCACCATGGAGATCTGGGAGGGAAAAGACAGGCCAGAATGGCTCCCATATTCAAAAGAAAGGATACAAGTAGTTTGTCCGCAGCCTGAAGAGATACACTGGGCTCCTCCATTGTGATGTTTGTGGGATTCAGCAGCCCTGGGCACCATCAGTCTTCCATTGCCAAGCCAAGTATCTTGGATAAGTTGGGCTCCTCCCTGTGTGTGTGTGGGGGGGGGGAGGTGGCGCGGTGGTGTGCTGGAGGGTCTGGCCCACCTTATAGAGACAAGGAGAGACAGTTAACTCCCCAGTGTCCAGGCAGTGGTCGTGGAGTAGGGCAAGCTCTTGCCTAGCTTTTCTTGCCACACTTAAAGCATGATTTGGGTGGTGTGTGTTGGGTGCCTCTTCTTTGAGGAGCCTGGAGGGTAGCAGCCAGAAGCAGGCATTTTTTTTTTCCTATCATGGGCAGCCTTAGTGACATTTTTCTGTTCCTTCTGGTTGTTGAAAACCTTAAAAGCCATGCTCGCCAGATCTTGTTGGAGGGTTTGAGAGCCATCCTCATCCTTTTTCAACACACACACACACACACACACACACACACACACACACACACACACACACACACACACACACACACACCACTATACCTACCTTTGATCTGGGATCAGCTTAGTATAACGCTGGAGTGCCACCATGAGGCCATCAAGAAATGTGGCTGGGTTTAATGGTTTCTGGGTAACCTCCTCTAGTTTATTATGGCTGATCACAAGGCAGGCTGCCTTCTGCAGGTGCCACCAGCAGCTTACCATCCTATTTTTGTTTCCCCTCTGGAACATGGTTTTGGTAATCCCAATGGGACTCTTCCCTGGGCACAGCTGTCACCCTTACTGAGAAGGTATTGTCTAGGTAATGGGTTTCATCGGCATGTGCCTGGGCTGCAACCCAAACCTTTCCTTTTCCTGGGGGTTGGGGGTGGGGGTAAGGGTGGAGGACAGGATTGCATATAAGTCATGCCAAGTGAGGTCATAGACCTGAATGAGGTATTTAAACTCTTTGCTATAATTATTAGGGTGTTGGGAGTATGATTCCTGTCACTTCACCTGAATGAGGTATTTAAACTCTTTGCTATAATTATTAGGGTGTTGGGAGTATGATTCCTGTCACTTCTCAATCTGGGAGAGGTCAGTCATTGAAATGGGGATATGAACTCCCTCCACCCCTGCACCTCCCACAGAGGATATAAGGGGCCTTGGAATGTGGCTTAGTGGTAGAATGCTTACTTGGCATGAGTGAAGGCCTGGGTTTAATTCCTCAGTACCACATAAACAGAAAAAGCAGGCCATGGTGATGCACATCAGTTATCAATGAGGAGGATGAGGCAGAGTATGATTAGTTTGAGACAAGCCTGAGTCTTAGATAAACTGAAAGCTGAGTGTGAGCGTGGTTATCACCATTGACATCTCCTTGTGGAAATCTGAGACCAGCAAGTATTGTATGATCATCGTTGATGTCCCAGGACACAGAGACTTTATCAAGAACATGATGACCGGCACATCCCAAGCAGACTGCTGTTCTGATTGTTGCTGCTAGTGTTGGTGAAGGTGAAGTTCACATCTCCATGAATGGGAAGACCCATGAGCATGCCCTCTGTCTTACTCACTGGGTATGAAATAGCTCATCGTCAGTGTTAACAAAATGGATTCCACTGAGCTACCCTACAGACAGAAGAAATACAAGGAAATCATTAAGGAAATCAGCACCTACAGTAAGAAAATTGGCTACAACCCTGACACAGTAGCATTTGTGCAAATTTCTGGTTGCAATGGTGACAATATGCGGGAGCCAAGTTCCACTATGCCTTGGTTCAAGCGATGGGAAATCACCCATAAGGATGGCAGTGCCAGTGGAACCACCTTGCTAGAGGCTTTGGATTGCATCCTGCCACCAACTCGTCCCACTGACAAGCCTTTGTACCTGCCCCTTCAGGATGCTTACAAAATTGGTGGTATTGGAACCATCCGTGTGGGCCAAGTGAAGACTGGTGTTCCCAAACCTGGCTTGCTCCTGCCAATGTCACAATGAAGTGAATTGTGTGGAAATGCATCATGAAGCTTTGAGTGAAGCTCTTCCTGGGGACAATGTGAGACTCAATGTCAAGAACGTGGCAGCATTGCTGGTGACAGCAAGAATGACCCAACTATAGAAGCTGCTGGCTTCACTGCTTAGGTGATTATTTTGAACCATCCAGGCCAAATCAATGGGCCTCTGTGTTGGATTGTCACACTGTCACATTGCTTCCAAGTTTGCAGAGCTGAAAGGGAAGATTGCCATTCTGGTAAGAATCTGGAAAATGTCCCTAGCTACTTCTAACATCTGGTAACTGGGTAGGGGAGAGAGAGCGTGGTAGACTGGTTAAGAATAATCTGTCAGAGGTAGAGTGCTTGCCTCGCATGCATGAAGCCCCTACATACAATTCCTCAGTACCATATAAACAGAAAAAGTGGGAAGTGGCACTGTGGCTCAAGTGGTAGAATGCTAGCTTGAACACAGGAGAGGCTCAGGAACAGAGCACAGGCCCTGAGTTCAAGCCCCAAGTCTGGCAAATAAAATAAAAATCAGTCAGAGGCTGTGGCTGGATTGAACTGGTTAAGGGACCCAACAGGAAGTCTTGGTAGATGTCTGGATTACAGAATATGGATAGGAGATCCAGGAAGCTTCCAAGGCTAACCATCCTGAGTCTAAGGCTCATTTTAAGTTCCTATTGAGTTAAAAGGCAGGTATGAACATTAAGCATGCTCATTAACTATTTCTCTTGATCTCCCAACTCTGGTTAATTTTGAAAGGGCAGGCACAAAATGGTTCCATTTAGGATGTGACATCATCTCTTCTTACTCCTCTCCATGGTCCCTTGTTCCTCGGACTGGCTGGGTCTCCGGGGTCTAGGTGTTGGTCAGTCACCGGGTTTGAACTCAAGGTGTGGGCACTGTCCCTGAGTACTTCTGTACCACATGGGAGTTTCCTTTTGGCAACCCTTACATCTGGCGCGCAGAATCCAGGAGGGCACAGAGTCAGGAGTCATTAGATTCCTTCCTCTTTTTCTCTGAGAGTTAATACTCTAATACTCCTCCTTGACTTTCCCTCCTCAGACAAAAGTGCTGGAAGCTGGAGGAACCCCACCTTGGACTTCTTGCCTTCACTATTGCTGGCTATGCATCTACCATACCATCTCCTCTCTACGTCTGGTAAGTGACTGACTGTTCTACAAGCCCTCTGCAGTTTGTCTGTGTAGATCTGGCCCCATGCCAGCGGGTTCCTATGCCTCCTTGGCCAGTCATTTCCCATTTTGGGATTGCCTAAATTGAGGACTCTGACCCTGACTCTGGAAGAGGCACTGGGGATGGAGAGGGGCACCTTCCATCCCTAACCTCTGAACACGCACCAGATACCTCCCCTTTTAGGTCTACGTGGCCAAACCTTCCACGTCTTATGAGACTCTACTCCCTATGTCCTATGGGACCACACCCCATGTCCTCCCCAGACTCCCTGCCCAAGTTTCTGGTTACAGTGGGGTGCCACCAGTCACAGGTGAGCTGGGACACTCCCTTGAGATGTCTCCTTTGCTCTTCAGATATTGTCCTACTCAAGTCCAAATGCCTTATAGGCTAGAAAATTGGTCTCAATAGCCCAACCTTTTGCTGTGCCCTCAAGAGTGCGACACAGGCTGGGTCTTGGGGACCCCCCTCCAGGTTCCCCATCAAGGGCTAGCCATTCTGGGTTTGAAATCAGATCTAAAATCATATCTTTATGTCAATGGTCCTGGAATTTGTGTTAGTTGGGTAGGATACCTACCCAACATGAAAATACCTACCCACATGAAAATAATTACTCTGAAAGAAGGTTTTAGGGTTTTCACGTAGAGTATGTTCATTATACAAAGGAGTTTCATTGTGATTCTTCTAAACATGCATAGGATGTACTTTATCATATTCAGCCCCTTCCTTATTTATGCCTTACCCACCCTCTTTCTGTAATCTTAATAGGCTTCATTATTCTACTTTCATACATACATCATATTCCCTCTTCTTCTGTTTTCTCTCCTCCCACAGGTTCTCCCCTCAAACAGCCCAGCTTTTATATTTATGTCACATTTTTAGGTTTCAGTTTCACATATGAGAGAAAACGTGATCATCTTTTGAGTCTGGCTTATTCCCTTAACATGATAATCTCCAACTCCATCTATTTCCCTGCAAACGGCATAATTTCATTCTTCTTTACGGCTGAATAATACTCCATCTGTATAATATGCCACAATATTTTAGGTGTCAGTACTGTGGCTTAAACTCAGGGCTTATAGTCTTGCTCAACAATGTTGGAAGCCAGACAGCCCTCAGGACAACAGTCCTGAGCCTTCTCACCTCTGTCCATGTCCTGAAGCAGCAACAGCTTATTGACCAGGATGTTTCTCTCATCTTAATTAAACTAGATATTGAGCTCAGCTATCTCTAACTGGAGGCCTTCTGTTTTCCATATGACTAAAGCTGTTGGCGCCTGCTGAATGCTGCTTAACACGCATATCTTGACCTTTCTTTGCCCTTTCCTGTGCAAAAACTGTATAAAGAAATGCACTGGTTGAGAGCCTGGGCTGCTTCAGTCTCCCAGATTTCTGGTACAGACTGTCCACCTGGTCCCAGCTAGAGAGAGAGAGAGAAAGAGAGAGAGAGAGAGAGAGAGAGAGAGAGAGAGAGAGAGAGAGAAAGGAGAAAGGGGAGGGAGGGAGGGAGGGAGTCTTCCTCAGTCTTCTATGAACTTCCCTCAGAAAACAGCTTGACATGACTGGTCTGAGCAGACTTGCTTGCTCAAAGATGGTATTTTACCACTTGAGCCATACCTCCAGTCCAGAATTTTTTCTAGGCCTGAGTCTTGAACTCAGTGCCTGGGTGCTGTCCCTGAGCTTTTGTTTTTGTTGGTCGTGGGGCTTGAACTCTGGCCCTGGGTGCTATCCCTCAGCTCTTCAGCTCAAGCCTAATGCTCTACCACTTGAGCGACAGCGCAACTTCCAGTTTTCTGGTGGTTTATTAGAGAGTCTCATGGAGTTTCCAGCCTGGGCTGGCTTTGAACTGCAATCCTCAGATCTAGCCCCCTGAGTAGCTAGGATTACAGGGGTGAGCCACTGTCACCTGGCTTCCTTGAGCTTTTTTTTGCTCAAGGCTAGCACTTTACCACTTGAGCCACAGCTCCACTTTGGGCATTGTGTGTGTGTGTGTGTGTGTGTGTGTGTGTGTGTGTGTGTGTGTGTGTGTGCACATGCACGTATGCACGTGTGTGTGTTTAATCAGAGATAAAAGTTTCACACTTTTCTGACTACACTGACTTCAAACTAGGATTATAGGCATGAGCTACTGGTGCCCTGCTTTCAGTCCAGAATTTTGCTGTTTAATTGGAGATGGAGTCTCAAAGACTGGTCTTCTTGAGCTGGCTTTAAACCTTAGTCCTCTGATCTCAGTCTGAGTGGCTAGAATAACAGGTGTGAATTACCAGAGTCTAGCTAAATTTTTAAATCCATTCATCCAGTGATGGCATGTATACTGATTTCATGAGTTGGCTGTTGTGAACATTGGTGTAATATATATGGCCGTGCAGCTATCTCTATTATATACCAGCATCATTCCTTTATTTTATTTTTATTTTATTTTTTGTTGGTTGTGGAGCTTGAACTCTGGGCCTGGGCACTGTCCCTCAGCTCTTCAGCTCAAGGCTAGCATTCTACCACTTGAGCCACAGTGCCACTTCCAGTTTTCTGGTGGTTTATTGGAAATAAGAGTCTCACAGACTTTCCTGCCCGGGTTGGCTTTGAACCATGATCCTCAGATCTCAGCCTTCTTAGTAGCTAGGATTACAGGTGTGAGCCCCCGGCACCCAGCACATTCCTTTATTTTCTAAAGTGCAAAATCAGACAGAACAAAATTATTGATTATTAAAAATAGCATTTGAGGCAGACCTCTTTGTAGAGAGAAACTCCAGGTTAAACAACTTAAATATCAACTTACTGAAATGTGGTAAATAACAGAATTCAGGAAATGCCCAGAAACCAGGAAGGTGCTTTGGCCTTAGAGTTAGTAAACAAGAAGCTTAGAATGTGTGAAATGTGTTTGAAATGTATTTTTTTTGTGTGTGTAAATAGGAAACTTGGGATGTGTTTTGGTAGACATCAGTTAAACTCCTAACAAAGGAAAAATCCAGAATGTTGTCTTCCTTTCTGACTTATTGCCTTGTTTACTGGAAATTGCTATTTGTGATTATTGACTGTTTCTGTCACATACATTGCTACCTATGTGTGGCTCTGTTACATATACTGCCACCTGCTCATTGGCTTCTTCCCTATATAAGCCATGCTGTGAGAGAGCCTGATTGCTATGCTTTACTACCTGAAAAGTAGGGTGAAGTCACCATACAGCTAATAAAGATTCCTTGCCCTTTTTATCTGAGTCAGTGGATATATTTGCAAGAAATATATTTGTAGGAGCCAGGATTCTACAATTTTTTTGGCAGTACTGTAGTTTGGAGTTAGGGCCTCATGCTTGCTAGACAGGTTCTCTACCACTTGAGTAACACCTCCAACCCTTTGAGTTCATCTTTGTTTAGGGTAAAAATCCAGTTTTATTCTTCTACATGTACATATGATTTTGGAGAAAATTCTATGTACTGCTATGAATGTGTTTTGTGGCTGTTGGGTCAAATATTCTTTTTTTTTTTTTTTTTTTTTGTCAGTTGTGGAGCTTGAACTCTGGGCCTGGGCACTGTCCCTGAGATCTTCAGCTCAAGGCGAGTACTCTACCACTTGAGCCACAGCGCCACTTCTGGTTTTATAGTGGTTAATTGGGGATAAGCATCTCATGGATTTTCCTGCCAGGGCTGTCTTTGAACCATGATCCTCAGATCTCATTCTCCTGAGTAGCTAGGAATACAGGTATGAGCCATTGGCACCCAGCTTCAAATATTCTTTAGATGTCTGTTAAATCCATTTGATCTATAGTGTTTAATTCTGAAGTTTCTTCGTTGATTTTTTTGGTATGTTGGTCAGTATTAAAGTCACTAATTATCTTTGTGATGGAGCCAGTCTTTGCTTTTATTATGTATATGACTTCAATGCATATATGTTTAGAATTATAGTATCTTTCTGATGGATTAAAATTATAATATCATTTCAATTACAGTATCATTTTGATGATAAAGGGTTGTTCCCTTTATCATTTATTTATTTGTTTTTGCCACCAAGTTGCATTTCTTGGATATTTGTTTTTTAATCCACCAACTTGGATATTGTGATTAGATCACTGAAACCATTAACATTCCAAGTTATTATTGAAAGGCCAGTAGTAATTCCTGTCACTTTGTTTCTGAAATGTGTGATTCTTTTTTAATCCTCATTTGCTTATCTTCTTGCCCAGTGAGATTTATTCTTTCCTACATTTACATTATTGTGTTCATTTGCCCCTCCTCTGGCTAGGAATCCTTTATGTAGCTCCTGAAGTGCTAGCTTAATGGTCATGAATTCCCTCAGTTTTTGTTTATTAGGGATAGTTTTTATTTCTCCTTCAATTATAAATGACAGTTTTGCAATCATTTTCTTTCAGGATTTGAAATCCATCATTCCATGTCTTATTCCTTTTAGAGCTTCTATTGAGAAATCTGCTGTTATTCTGGTAGGTTGACCTGTTGCTTCCCTCTTGCAGCTTTCAATGTTTTCCTTGTTTTGTATACCCAATATTTTAACTGCAATATGATGAGGAGGGTTTCTTTTCTGCTCTTTTCTGTCCTTTACCTGAATGATCATCTTTTTCTGAGGATTTGGAGGCTTTTCTGCTACTGTTGTATTGAACATGTTTGCTGTGCCTTTAGCTTGTCCGTGATCCACAGATATTATTTTTTCTTACGATTATTTGCAAGTTCTATTTCATCTATTCTGACTTCAAGCCCCAATAGTCTCTCTTCAACTTAATCTATTGGGAGAGCTTTCAACTTTTAAAAATTTGGCTTTTTGAAATTTTCATTTCCAGAATTCCAAAATTTTCAAGTTACTATAATTTTATTGAATGTTCTTCATATCCCGCATTGTCTTTTGTGTCATTTGGTTGTTTGTCTAATCTTAAAATTCACTCAGGCGCTTATTCCTATCTCTTTAATTCTAATCATTCTTTTTTCTGAGATTATTTATTTCATTATCTTAGAGTCTGTTATTATGGAATTGCTGGCTTTTGGAAGAATAATATTGCCTTCTATTCACATCCTTGGCTTTTCTTTCTTTTCCTTCCTTCCTATTACCTTCCTTCCTTCCTTTTCTTTTCTTTCTTTCTTTTCTTTCTTTCTTTCTTTCTCTCTCTTCCTTCCTTCCCTCCCTCCCTTCCTTCCTTCCTTCCTTCCTTCCTTCCTTCTTTCCTTCCTTCCTTCCTTCCTTTCTTTCTTTCTTTCTTTTTTCTCCTTCTCTCTCTCCCTCCCTCCCTTCCTTCTTTCCTTCTCTCCATTTTTTTTTTGTAGTATGGGGTTTTTTTGTAGAACTCGGCCTTGTGCTCACAACTTAGGTGTTCTACTACTTAAGCAATGCTCCTAGCCCTTTTTTTCTTCACTTGTTTTTCAGATAGGGTCTCTTGTTTTTGTGAGGGTTAATCTGAACCACACTCCTTTTACTTATACCTTCAGCATAGCTAGGAGCAACTTAATTGGCTAATGACAGCTAGCTAACTTTTTGTTTGGGTGTGCTTGGAACCACTATCCTCTATCTCTGCCTCACAAAAAGCTGGGATTACAGACATGAGACACAGTGCTCAGCCTAGAAGTTTTTGTTATACTTATAGTATCATAGAACAGGAGGCATGGTATACCACACAGGGGCACAAAGAAAATGATGAGGTGAGATGAGCAGGTGGGAGTGGGGGTGGGGTAAACGAGTGAGGGGGGGAGGGGGTAAGAGAGAGAATTTTTATTGCTTTTATTTATCTTTTTGTTTTTCAAAACCAGGCCAAGTTAAGAAGGTTAGAGCTGGATAGCTGGAATAGTTTTGGTGGGGTCTGGGTTTTGAGGGAGTTACCTAAATGCCTGGTTTCCGTGGTGATTTGGGCAGTTTCCTGGATAAAAAGAGCTGGAGCCTGTAAAGAAGGGGCAGAAACATTGGCTCAGGATTGGTGATTTTGCATATCAAAGGTATATTCACAAGTCATTTACTATCTCTAGGGGCTAACTACCTGGGTTTTATAAAATTTTTACAACTCAGCTTCTCAATTTCTACCAAAAAGAAAGCTAGGATTCTGACAAGTATTCTGTTGAATCTGCAGATCAGTTTGAGGATATATTCCATCTTCCCAGCAACTTTTTTTTTTTTGTCAGTCGTGGGGCTTGAACTTGAGCTCTTCAGCTCAAGGGTAGCGCTTTCCTGCTTGAAGAGGATGTATTCCATCTTAATGATGTTAAGTAATTAAGATCCTATTGACAAGGCTTTGTTCATTATAGTTTAATATTCCTTTCTTATTTTTCTGTTTGTTTCCTATATGTCTTTGTTCTTATTTTCTGTTGCATTCAAAAATGTTCAATAGTTTATAATTTTAACTACTGCATTTTTTTTATTGGGGGGGGTCCGGTCATGGGGCCTCAACTCTGGGCCTGGGCACTGTCCCTCAGCTCTTCACCTCAAGGCTAGCGCTCTAACACTTGAGCCTCAGCACCACTTTTTCTTTTTGCTTATGTGGTGCTGAGGAATTGAACCCAGGGCCTCATGCATGCAAGACAAGCACTCTACCACTGAGCCACCTTCCCAGCTCAACTACTGCATATTTTGAGTTGTTTTCTTTTCCTTTTTCTGAACTTAGGGCTTTGCATTGGTTTGCCAGGTGCTCTACCACCTGCTCAGGTTCCAGCCCTTTGAATAGTTTTCTTGGTGGTTACCCTGAACTTGCACCAATTTTGTTCCAACAAATGCCAACTTATTTGAATACTATGTTAAACTTTTGTTCCCTGTATAGTTTATGTCCCTTGCTTTTTTATTTCTTTTATTTTTTTGCCAGTCCGGAGCTTGAACTCAGGGCCTGGGCACTGTCCCTGAGCTTTTTTTGCTCAAGGCTAGCATTCTACCACTTGAGCCACAGTGCCACTTCCAGCTTTTTTTGTTTATATGGTACTGAGGAATCAAACCCAGGGCTTCATGCATGCTAGGTGAGCACCCTACCACGAAGCCACATTCCCAGCCCCTGTCCCACGACTGTAATCCTAGCTATCAGGAGGCTGAGATCTGAGGATCATGGTTCAAAGTCAGCCTGGGCAGGAAAGACTGTGAGACTCTTATCTCCAATAAACCACCAGAAAACCAAAGTGGTGCTGTGGCTCAAATGTAGAACGCTAGCCTTGAGTTGAAGAGCTGAAGGACAGCGCCCAAGCCCAGAGTTTCAAGCCCCGCAACTGACAAAAAAAAAAAAAAGAACAAGCAAAAAACAGGCCTGGAGGCATAGCTCAAGTGATAATAGTGCCATCCTAACATGTGTGAGGCCCTAAGTTCAAACCATACTTAGTACTGCTAAAAATTAATAATCAATTCATACTTTAAAAATATTTAGCTATGCCAGGAACTGGTGATTTATGCTTGTAATCCTAACTCCTCAGGAGGCTGAGATCTAATAATCATGATTCAAAGCCAGCACAGGCAAGGAAGTCCATGAGATTCCTATCTCCAAGAAACCACCAAAAAGCCAGAAATAGAGCTGGGGCTCAAAGTGGCAGAGCACTAGTCTTGGGCATAAAAAGCTCAGGGACAGTGCTTGGGCTGAGTTCAAGCCCCAGGATTGGCATTTTTTTTCTTTTGCCTACATAATCACTTTTACTGTTTCTATTTATTTCTTCAAGATGATGCTGAGCACGCTTTCATTCCAGCCCTGAGAACTCCCTGTAGTTTTCTTTCTTTCTTTTTTGGTTTGTTTTTGTATGGGTACTGGAATTTGAACTCCAGTTTGAACTCAGGACCTACTGTACTTCTTGAACATGCCTTCACTTCTGGCTTTTTGCCAGTTAATTGGAAGTAACTGTCCCTCAGGTTTGTCTGCCTAGGCTGGCTTTTAACTTCAATTCTCAAATCACAGCCTTTTGAGTAGTTAGGATTATGGTATGAGCCATCCAAATCCTTTTAGTATTTCTCATAGGGAATGTTTCTTGCAATATTTATTGTTGCAAACCACTGTAAGTGCCTTAACCCACCATGACCAGGATCAAGGCAATAATGGAAACCGGATTTTAAAACTGGTTTTGAGGCACCAGGGGCCTATGCCTCTCACCAGCAACAGACACCCCAAGGTCCTGGTAACAGGGTGTTTATTGATTTTGGGATAGGGGAGCATGTGCAGAAAGTAAGGTAGCAATCTCTTTAAAGTTACAGACACCAGCATGTGAAACAATCCTAGGATGAGTTGATGACTTTATCTTAGGAAGGGAGGCAAGCAGCAAACAGCTACCATTTGTATAAGAAACCTTTATCTAACTCCAAGGTCCAAGAAAGTTTGAGTTCTGATTAACTCACATTTAGGGTAGATTCTTAGGTCTCTGTAATGCTAGGAGTGATTGATCTATCTCCCAGCTTTCTGAGAGTCAGAGAATGACATTCCAAGTCTCTATGAGACCTCACAGCTCAGCATTCACAGATTCCCACAATTTATCTCCATTTTCATTTAAGATGTGTTTTTGCCTATGGCTCACTCACTCTTGTAATCTTAGCTACTCCAGAGGCTACTCCAGCCAGGGCAGGAAAGTTCGTGAGACTCATATCTCCAATTAACCACCAAGAAGCTGAAAATGGTGCTCAGTAGTAGAGCACCAGCCTTGAGTGAAAAAGCTAAGGAACAGAATTAAAAAAAAAAAAAAAAAGCTAAGGAACAGAATCAAAACCCCAGTAGCAGCATACAAACACACAAAAAAAGATGGGACTTTATTTTTTGTTGTTGTCCTGGGCTTGGGGCTTGAAATCAAAGCCTTTTTGCTGTCTTGGCTATTTCTCTACCACTTGAGACAGAGCTCCACTTCTGGCTTTTTGGTGGCTAGCTTCATGCAACCCTCAGATCTCAGCTTTCTTTAGTAGCTAGAATTACAGGCCTGTGCCACTGATATGCAATTTCTTCATGTTTGATGAACAGTTGGTCTGGCTGTCTTGGCTGACTGATTTCTTGTCTTTCAATGTGTTGATACATGTGTCTTGCCTTGTGGTTTCTGAAATCAATTACTAATCTTTTTTTTTTTTTTTTTTAGGATCAGTCTAGAGAAATAAAACTCTTTTATTTTCACTGTCCAAGTATCAGTCAATGTACTGGGAAAGCCAGCGAACGCCCTTGCGTAGCCTTGTCTCTTGAGTACACTGCACATGAACACTTCCATGGGGCATGCATTCAGTTCCTTCAGAGTCACATTTCCCTTTCCTGTGGTCTGTCGATAAAGATAAAGTCCAAATATCTCATGTAGCTTTTCTTCACTGATAGCATCTGACCTGTCAATTTTGTTTCCCAAGATAAGGATTGGCACGTTGGATATTGTTGCATCAGTCATTAAAGCATTAAGCTCAACTTTGGATTCCATGAGGCAAGAATGATCTGAACAGTCCACCAGAAAGACAATCCCATTAATTGCTGGAAGATAATTTTTCCAAACCCGACAAGCTTGCTCATGCCCACCAAGATCAAAAGTTGTAAACGTCATTCCAGCAATTGTCAGTTCTTCTGATGTTGGATGTAGTGTTGGAACATGCTGGCCCAATCTGTCATCTTTGAGTATGTGAAGAAGAGTAGTTTTGCCCACATTGTCCAAGCCCAAGAACACAAGTTTCCCAGATTTAGAGTCCTAGGAACTGGAGCACACTGCTGAAGCCATTGTAGATCCACTCAAAGATGAAAGACATTATTAATGCTTACTACTGGATGCACATCACCACCTCCCCTCGATTACTAATCTTTTATCTTTTTTTGTGTGTGTTGGTCCTGGGGCTTGAACTCAGGGCCTACATGCTGTCCCTGAGCTTTTATGTTCAAGGCTTACATTCTACCACTTAAGCCACAGCGTCACTTTCAGCTTTTTCCATAGTTAATGGGAAGTAAGAAAGAATCTCATGGACTTTACTGCCAAGGCTGGCTTCCAACCGGGATCCCCAGATCTCTTCTGAATAGCTAGGATAACAGGTGTGAACCACCAGTGCCAGGCTTCGATTACTAATCTTATTGTGGCCCTCCTATAAAGTGTTTCTCTCTTGCTACTTTCAAAATTCTATATTTATCTTTGGTTTGCTTTTCACCATTTGATTATGATGTATTTCAGTGTGGCTCTCTTACCTGGAGTTAATTGAGCATCTAGATTGTGAAGAGTAATGTTTTCATCAGATCTGAGTTTTAATTCATTATTTACTCAAATGCTTTTCACTGGCTTCCTCTTCTCTTTGTTACTCTATTATGGTTTGAATGTGAAACGTACCCCACAGGCTCATGGATCTGTTTCCAACTGGCCATACTATTTTGGGAGTGGTAACTTTAAGAGATGAAGCCTAGTTGGAGGAAGTAGTTGAAGGTCATATCTGGTCCCCAAACCCTTCTCTCATCTTTTTTTTTTTTTGCCTGTCCTGGGCTTGAAATCTGGGTGAAGGTGCTATCCCTGAGCTTTTATGCTCGAGGCTAGTGCTCTACCCACTTGAGCCACAGCTCTACTTCCAACTTTTTGATGATTAATTATTGATGAGTCTCAAAGACTTTCCTGCCTGGGCTGGCTTCGACCTGAGATCCTCAGAGCTCAGCCTCCTGAGTAGCTAGGATTATAGGCATGAGCCACTGTGCCTGCCTGGTGTCTCTGCTTCTTGTCTGTCATTAAGGTGAGTAGCTTTCTCTGCATCTTCCTGAAGCCACCAGGTTCTTTCTTGCTATAGGCCCAGAACCAAGGACTATAGACTAGATCCTCTGAAACTGTGAGCTAATCTTTCCCTCTGTACATTGTCAAGCATCTTGTCACTGTGATGGACAATATACCCATATGTGTTTCGATATGTTTGAAACTGGCCCATTCCCCTGTGGTTCTGTGGACTTTTCTTCATTATTTCTTCTTTTTCCTCAGACTGAGTAATCTCAGTTGACCTATATTCAAGCCACTAGTTATTCCTTCTGTGCACTCAAATCTTCTCCAGTCTATTTTTCATTTCAGTTATTGCACTTTTCAACCTTGGAATTTCCATTTGGTTTGTTTTTGTAATCACTCCCTCTTTACCAATACTGAGATACCATTTACATACTTTTGTTCATGACTTCTTTTTGCCTGTTGAAAATATTTTAATAGATCATTTCAAGTTTCTGTCTCAGGAGTCTGGTCTTTTGTAGAAGAGCCCTACAATCTTTCTGAGGAATATTTTTTTCTTGATTGCTTTACCCCCTTATTTATAGATCATATTTGGTTTCTTCAGGTGTCATAATCTTTTTAGAAAACTGGACAATGTAATAACTCTCAAAGTCAGATTCTCCCCCGTTCCCTGTATTCGTTGTCACTGATACTTCATAGTGGTTTAGTGACTTGCGGCAATTCTGTAAAGTTGCCATTTTTGATAATATAATATGTGGTCACTGAATTCTCTACTGTAATTGGGTGGTCAATCAACTCTTAGAGAGTTTCTAAAACTCAAGTCAGTAGATCTCCCAGTCTTTGCCAAGGTGCTTTTGTATATGATGGGGCTCATATCAAAACATACTTTTTTTCTTTTTGGCCAGTCCTCAGGCTTGAACTCAGGGCCTGGCCACTGTTCCCTTAAGGCAAGTACTCTATCATGTGAGCCATTGCTCCACTTCTGGCTTTTTGGGTAATTAATTGGAGGTAAGAATGTCACAGGCATTCCTGTCTGGGCTGGCTTCCATCCTCAGATCTCAACCCCTACAAGAGTTAGGATTACAGGCATGAGCCACCAGCACTCAGCTGCTGCAGGTACATTTTTTTTTGGGGGGGGGGGTCCGGTCATGGGGCCTGAACTCTGGGCCTGGGCGCTGTCCCTCAGCTCTTCAGCTCAAGGCTAACGCTCTACCACTTGAGCCACAGCGCCACTTCCGGCTCTGTTCTTTTTGCTTATGTGATGCTGAGGCATCAAACCCAGGACCTCATGCATGCAAGGCAAGCGCTCTACCACTGAGCCACCTTCCCAGCCCTGCAGGTACATTTAAAGCATGTGTTTGTTAGTGTTTTATGTAAGCATTCACTGGGAAGAGGCTTTTTAGCACCAGGAAAGCACTGCTTCAGGTCAAATGGAGACAACTCTTTCTAGTGGGTCTTCTAGGTAAACACCACACAGGTCATATGCAAGTCAAGCATCCCCAATCTGAAAATCTAGAATCCAAAATGTCCAAAAATCTAAAATGTTTTGAGTGCTGACACAAGTAGGAAATTACACATTTGACCTCATGAGGGGTCACAGCCAAACTGCTGGTACTTTATATCCATCTCTATATCTATCTATCTATCTACCTACCTACCTATCTAGGCTTTGGGTTTGTTTAAAGCTTATATATGGGTGAATTTTGCATTTAGACTTGGGTCCTATCTCCAAGATATTTCATTATGTATATGCAAATATTCCAATAATTAAAAAATACTGAAATACTTCTGGTTTCAAGCATTTAGATAATGAATACTCAACCTAAAACAATTCTTTGGAAATGAAGCTTTGAAAAAAAATTCAAGTCCATTTTTCTCTCTCCAGTATTGGGAACTAGTGTTGTTTTTCATGGACACACACACATTGACTAAGAGGCCAGAATAAGGCAAACATCACATATTGTTACCAAGATTCAGTCATTTTTCTTGAGTAAATGCTTCTTCAGAGGTTTGGTACAGGTGTTAAAAAAAAAACTGTTGCAGTTTCTTTTTTGTTTGTTTCACCCCCTTGTTTTTAAATGATAGGGTAAACTTTCAGATAGTCCCACCTATAATTTTCTGTGATACTACCCTCCCTCCCCATTTCTTGTTCTTGTTAAAATAAGCAGTTTTACGTAGTCGGAATCAAGTTCCAAATTTTATTAGCAGAACTCTACTGCTGCGCGACATCCTCAGCTCCCAGTTCTTCTTTAACTTGAGACAGATACATGGGTTGCCTGTACCTGCCGACCTCAGGGGGAGCCAGTGACTTGGGCAGTTTTAAGTAGAGTTTATCTTCTGGCTCTATTTTAGTATTTGGGAGTTACTTTAATAAAAGAGCTCTGGAGGCTGGGATCAAGATGAAAGGGGCTAGGGCTGGGAATGTGGCTTAGTGGTAGAGTGCTTGCCTAGCATGTATGAAGCCCTGGGTTCAATTCCTTAGTACCACATAAACAGAGGCCAGAAGTGGCGCTGTGGCTCAAGTGGTACAGTGCTATCCTTGAGCAAAAGCTCAGGGACAGTGTCCAGGCCCTGAGTTCAAGCCCCAGGACTGACAAAAACAAAAAGATAAAGGAGCTGTCAGACATTGCTTATGCCTTGTTTTTGATTCATAGGCAGCTGTTTTCTGTGTCCTCACATGGCAGAAGTGAGAGAGTACTCTCTTAAGGGCATTCACTCCATTCATGACCTAATCACCTTCCCAAAGCTCCTCACAGCATCATGTGGGGTCAGATTGTTAACACAGTCCTCTAGGGGGAATGGCTTGCACTGTCCATAGCACTTTGCTTCAGGATTGTTTTTATTTTCCAGCCAACATTGTTCTTCTGATCTCTCTTCCAGTTCTTCAGGTTAGCAGAATCATAGGTTTTGTGTCTGTCATCTAGGTAAAACTCACCCCATGCAGTCTTCATCCATGTACTGAGTTCCCTTCAAATGCTCTGGGTTTTGTCTCATTTGATTATCTTCAAGTAGATGGCATTCTAATTTTGTCCAGTTATCCTCTCTGTGGGAAGAATTGATCTTCCTCTGTTCATTATCAGAACTTTAAGCTCACAATTATATCTATCTATCTATCTATCTATCTATCTATCTATCTATCTATCTATCTATCTATCTATCTATCTATCTATCTATCTATCCCCCACCTCCCCTGGTCAGTCGTGGGCTTGAACTCTGGGCACTGTCCCTCAGCTCAAAGCTAGTAGTGCTCTACCACTTGAGCCACAGTGCCACTTATGGCCTTTTCTGTTTATGTGGTAATGAGGAATCGAATCCAGAGCCTCACGCATGCTAGGCAAGGACTCTACCACTGAGCCACCTTCCCAGCCCTTACAATTATATTTTATAAGCATAAATTCACTATTTCAAAAGGCGGTTTATAAGCAGTGAAAAGGTCAATTTTTTCTTTTTGGTACCAGTCCTGGGGTTTGAACTCAGGGCCTGAGCACCATCCCTGAGCTTTTTTTTGCTCAAGGATTGTATTCTACTACTTGAGTAACAGCTTCACTTCTGGTTTTTGGGTAGTTAATTTGAGATGAGTTTCAGGGGCTTTCCTACTCAGGCTGCTTCAAATTGCAATCCTCAGCTATCAGCCTCTTGAACAGCTATTATTACAGGTGTGAGGCACCAATGCCCACCTCACTCTCCTCTTAGTATAATTCTTGGATATAGATATGTGAATGCCCCAATTTTCTTTTTCAAAAAAAGCAAGACAAAATTTATGGAATATTTTATTTTCGGTACTTCCAGTAGTGGTGAGACAAAACACATACTGTTGCTACCTCCCTGGACTCCATTCTACCCCGAGATCTCCATTTATAAAATCAATAAACAAGAACCAGAATTATAACCTTCCACAGAGACAAGAGTTTAGAGGCTAATAGGAAACAACAGCCACATGTAAGGATACAGTAAGAGGTAAGCAAAACACACAAAGTCTATTTTATCTTCACATGCAGTCATCATCTCGCAGCATGTTTTTAAACATTCTATGTGTGGCTCTGGAGCCCAAGCCCAGGACCTTGTACATGCTAGGCATGTGCTCTGCCAGGAAGCCACATCTCTGACACTTAAACATTTTTTTTTTTTAAGCTTAACACTTTAAAATTTAGAATGTTTTATTTTTAAGTCTTTCTTTCATATCCAAATTTGGCTCATGACATCTGGTAAATAAAGCACATTTATATATTTTAAAGGCAAGGATTATGGAGAGAGTTAACGTTAGAACTCTTCTGAGACATTACTTTGGCACCACCTGCTGGGTGACTTTTTGGAAGTATTTTCTGTACATAAACTTTCACCATAGATTTTTACTCTCAGAAGCAATTCTGAAGAAATATTATCAAAATCATTTACATCTAACTTCAGCCTAAGGCCAGCCAGCTATAAACTACCACCTAAGGGCAATTTGCCTTAAGTCACTAGACCCTGGGTGCTATCCCTGAGCAATTTTCCTCAAGATTAGTGCTCCCCCACTTACAGCCACACGGCCACTTTCAGGTTTTATGTGGTTAATTGGACAGAAAAGTCTCACAGACTTTCCTTTCCAGGGCTGACTTGGAGCCACAATCCTCAGATCTCAGATGTGAGCCACTGGTGCCTGGCTTATTTCACTTGTTTTGGATACACATTTTGTTTTGAGTCTATGTTTTGAGGCAGGTTCTTTTTATGTTGGTCAAGCTAGCCTTGAATTTCCCAGGCAGGCCAGGCTGGCTTTGAATTTAAAAATCACCCTTCAGCACTGGAGTGCTTGGGTAACAGATGTGCAGCACCATACTTACCCACATTTTCTACGATTAGTTGGAAAAATTCTTGTTAAAATTTTATGTACTGCCATCAACTGAAGTCTATTTCCATGATAGATTTTAATCAGTCATCCCAAACTTCAGAAAGCATTTTACTAAAAGAACAAATATTAAGGCACAAAGATACACCAAGTTTTCAAGCAAAAATTGGAAGAAACTTCTTCCAATTTATAAAATAATTTAATCCTTTCAAATAAAAAAATACAACTTTCCAACCTCTAAAGTTCCACCTTAAACAAGTGATATTCTACTGATTCTAAATTAGTTTTTCTTTTTTTTCCCAGTTCTGGGGCTTGAACTCAGGGCCTGGACAGTGTCCCTGAGCTTCTTTTGCACAAAGCTAGCACTCTACCACTTGAGCCACCGTGCCACTTCTGGCTTTTTCTGTTTATGTGGTACTGAGGAATTGAATCCAGGGCTTCATACATGCTAAGTAAGCACTCTACCTCTAAGCCACATTCCCAGCCACTAACTTTCTTTATTTTCAGTTGTAGGGCTTGAACCCTGGGCCTGGGCATTGTCCATTGAGCTCTTCGGCTCAATGCGAGCCCTCTACCACTTGAGCCACAGCACCACTTCCAGTTTTCTGGTGGTTAACTGAAGAGTCTCATGGACTTTCCTGACCAGGCTGGTTTTGAACCATGATCCTAAGATCCCAGCCTCCTGAGTAACTAGGATTATAGGTGTGAGCCACCAGTGCCTGGCCTAAATTAGTTTTAGTAGTATTTAGTTCCTAAATTATAATGTACATTTCCTTAAAAATCTAGTTTTGTCACATATATACATTTTCATTTGCTCAACTTGAACAATATGCTAAATTTCTCTCTTATAATAGGTATAAGGTGCTTCATATTGTCTTCCTGCATGCCAATCACAAGACACAGTGCTGGAATGAGAGACAAAAACTAGTTCAGGGTCTCTTGACTTTAGTCGTGAATAGCTAAGGCAATAGATGCAAACCTCTTCCCAAAAGGAGAATATAAAAATTAACCCTCTATGTACATTTTTATACTTTCAGACTTTATAGTGAGAACATGATATGCTGTAATACAGATGGGAAAGATAGCAAAGATATAAAAAATTATTTCCTTTATAGAATCAGTATGGGGACATTCTATAACCTCAGGCTTAAGACAGACATTCATCTTTTTTTTTTTTTTTGTCTGTTGTGGGGCCTGGGTGCTGTCCCTCAGCTCTTCAAGGCTAACATTCTACCACTTGAGCCACAGTCCCACTTCGTCTTTTTTTGCTTATGTGGTGCTGAGGAATTGAACCCAGGGCCTCATGCATGCAAGGCAAGCGCTCTACCACTGAGCCACCTTCCCAGCCCTTTTTTTTCTTCCTATTTATCGCAATAAACTAAATTGACTAGCCTCTAAATCAGGGGTGCAGAGCCTTTTTCTTCATTTGGCATATGATGTTAGCTGGTATCAATGCTTATGTGCTATGGAAAAAACTAGATTTATTGAACTTTGAATCTTGCTGGGCAGGACCAGACTAAATGACTTCGAAGGCTTGATATGGCCCATGGGTCGGTCGAATGTTTCCCATTCTGGTATCTAGTATTTAAATACTAAGCTAATTCAAACCATGAAAGGTTCTTCTTAAGCAAATTTCACATCAAATATACCTATGAATGATGTAACAAAAGAACTGAGAATTCTGTCCAGAAACACATGAAACTGGACCTTATCCTGAGACCCTTTCATCACTAGAAGTCAGTTGATATGAGTACCTGCGAGGTGCTGACAACCAGACTGGGACTCCAAGCAGATGAGACAGGTGCTGTGCAGTGGGCCTGGGAGGACAGGGTACCTGCTAGCCTCAACAGGAGCTGTGGTAATGGTGCCAGGGTGCCTCCTGCTTATTTGCAGGGGCTAAGCAGGCCCTCGTAGGAATACTCAGTTCAGGTTATCAGACATCCAGAGATGACACAATTCTCACTAAAAGTGACAGATACAGCAATACTCTTCTAAAAATGCTTCTGAGGAGGCTTTCTTTGGATGAAGGAAAAGTTTGCATTTCAGCCCATAGCCACCAATGTGTCAGCAGCATCACTGGCTTTTCCAGCTGTAGGAAGAAGTGTGTTGATAAACACTACTGAGATTATGCAGAGACACTTTAACCTACTGTCATTCTGGTAATCAGCTCCCTATTCCCACCCACTCAATATACAGAACCCACAGGCTGTTAGCTATGCATTCGGTATTTTAATATTCAACTAGACTCATGAATTGGGACCAATTGTCTCAAACCAGGGTAAAGTATTAGATAAAAACATTAAGATACGCTTGGGTTGTATATGCCTATAACCCTTGCACTTGGGAGGCAGACAGGAAAACTATTGAGTCAAAGGCAGATTGGGCTACATAATGAAACTTTGTCTCCAAACCAAATCAAACAAAAAAGGCTCCTCACTTTCAGCTTCCTGAAACAAGCACACTAAAAGGCAGAAGGAACAACATGCTGGAACGCACAGGGGAGGGCGCCCACCACTGAGGAAGGCAGTGAGGTAAGGAATGGCATCCTGATAACCAGGCCTTTCTTTGTGATGCTTACCAGGATGTTTATCACTTTCCAAATTTTAAGTACTGAAATCACAAATGCAAACATCTTTCAAGAGACATTACCAGTTTAAAAAAAAAAAAAACAAGCAAAGCAAAACAAAAAACCCTATTCTTTAATAACCTCTCTGAAATAAAATAATTCCAGAAAGCAGACTTTGGAAAGAAAAAGAAAAAATTGTTCTGCAGCTTCAGAATAAAAATAATTATACATTATTAATCTTGTTTAGGATGTTCATGTTTTTACAATCAAAGTTCTCTGAAGTTATTCTCAATTCACAAGGTTAGATCTTCACAGAAAAGACATCCAGAAGTCTGCCTTTCATTACTAGTCTAAATGTCTGCCAGCCCCTCATCTTTGGTTATGAAAGCAGCAAAACATTCACATTTTCATCATGCTACATTCAATTGCCTTTCAAGTCTAGAACAGTGTACATTTTAAAGAGATTGAAAGATAAATCTCAAATCATACAATACAAACGCTAACAAAATAAGGTATAAAACATAGTTGAAGATTAATTGATTACAAAATAATTATGAAATCCTCTGAAGTTAAATTATCTTTTTATTATGATTTAGAAAATGCTAAGATAATGTAAACAATACAAGTGCTTCCTAGGAGGATCACCAGGAATGGGGCTGCCAGCTCCCTGGGGGTAGAAAGTGCACTAGGGAACCATGTGGCCTGGGGTCCATCAACTGCCCTACAGTTAGCAGCAGTATGTGTACTGGAGGCCTGAGGAAGGGAACAATGGCAGAGCACATTTTTGGAACTGACCCTCAAGACTTTTCTCCTTGTGTACTTGTATTCCCTGAGCTCAGGGAAGATCTAACTCCATGATTTCATGTGCACGGTGATATTTCCAAATAAGAGCTTTGTGCAGACAAAAAAAATTTTTTAAAGGCAAAATGAAACACATAAAAATCATGCCTTATCATCCAAAATCACTTTAGCATAAAAGTCAAAAAAATTATCATTGAATCTAGTAACTATAAATCTACAAGATGGAGACAATACACCTCAAAAATACATTATCTCAAAAATGAGAAGAAAAAATAGGAGTGTTTATATAATTTAAACAAATCTGAAATAGTCATATTTTCCAGAGAAAAGAAGACCCAAATCCATATTCCTGTCACTGCCACCTAACAAGTATTTGTGCATATCTCAGTGTCATAATACTTTTCTCAGATTATTTCCAAATCCAGGTAAAAGAAATTAAGCTGACATTTAAAAGTTGGCTTTATGGCAACAATAAAAAAATCTTCCCACTTGAATTCTTCAGTTTAATACAAAGACTTCCAAGATAACTAACACAGTGAGAACTTATTACATTATATCACAACAAAGCTCTCTTTCAGTCTTCACGAAAGGTGATCCTTTACCATTAACTGAGTTTCAATTACACAGGTTCCAATCACATTATCTTTTCTGAAGAGAACATTTTTTCAGCTATTTCAGATCTGGTCATAATTTCCTGAAAGTGAAAAAATTTGTGTTAAGATATTGATGATATAGCCAACTCTAACAAAATCATTTGCTCTTGCAAAAATCACAATTTAATTTTTTCAATAGCCATAGTTACGAGAAAGTATACAATGCAGAAAATAAAAAACCATGCAACAGACCCTCTCTAATAATGTAATCAATTATTCGGAGAAGGTCAGAGAATTTTCAATTTCTGCTACCTGGAAAACATGCCAAGTTTTAGCTCTTCAGGGAGAGGCAGAAACTGAGCTAAAATGGACTTCTCAGGCTTAGCTCATCTCACTGAATTAATGTTTTTAAAACTATAAATCAATTATTTATCAAATGAGTATTTTAAATAATCCTTTAAAAATAATTCTGTAGCACATGAATTTAGAGAATCATAAATCTTGAAGTTTAACTGTTGTGGAGCGTGGCCTTCCTAAACCTTTTCATTCTGCTGTGTTTAAATCAGGACCCAGATGCAAAACTTGCTTTCCTCATCTTTTACCACACCATGCCCTGCTCTCCTTATATCTTACATCCACCAAGACATTACAACATTGCTACTGCTGCCTACTCTCCCTCTCTTCTCTTCCATCATATGAGCTGATGTTCCATGTTTTTATCCCTTCATTGCTACACTTCACACTTCACCCTGCTTGGGTGTACACTTGCCCTGTAACTGACCTTGCTTCCACAAACTTGCCTAAATCCAAACAAATTTGTTCAGTAAATCCAAGTGAGAAAAACTTCATATACTAAGCTCATAAAATATCAGAGTATCAAAGATTAAGCTGCCACATTAAAATATTCTCTTCTTGGGCACTGGTGGTTCACACCTATAATAATCCTAGCTATTCAGGAGGCGGAGATCTGAGGACTGCAGTTTGAAGCCAGCCCAAGCAGGAAAGTTAAGACTCTCATCTCCAATGAACCACTAGAAAAACTGGAAGTGGCGCGGTGGCTCAAAGTGGTAGAATTTTAGCCTTGAGCAAAAAAAAACTCAGGAACAGTACCTCAGCCCTGAGTTCAAGCCCTATGACTGACTCAATTAATTAATTAATTAAATTAAATAAATCCTCTTATCCTATATACAAAATATTAGAAAAATCACACATTAAAAAACTCAGAAAAGTTCTTTTCTTTCACACCAACAAGCATTTATCTTGCTTCTGTTTCAAATGAATAGTTGATACAGAAATCCTTTAATCTTTACCAGAATGCATCGATTCATAGCATCCTTCTATTTCTTCAACCAATAATTTTTTAAAAATCTTTCAGAATTTCTTTCTGAAATACATTTCTACTTTTGAAAATAAAAATAACAGTTCTAAGTAGATAAGTAAAAATGTGTTACCTCATCTGAATCCACTAATACTGGAAGGGCCCTAAAAGAAAAAAGTGAGAGTGCTTAAGAGTAATGCCAAATGGGATCAAATTGTGGAAGAGTTACACAATTAAAAACTATACAGACAAAAAAACAGATGAGTGGTTGAGGGATAAAGTTTTTTTTGTTGCTGTTGTTTTTTTGTTTTGTCAGTCATGGGGCTTTAGCTCTGGGCCTGGACACTGTCCCTCAGCTCTTCAGCTTAAGGCTAGCACTCTACCACTTGAGTCACAATGCCACTTCTGGCTTTTTCTGCTTATGTGGTGCTGAGGAATCGAACCCAGGGCCTCATGCATGCAAGGCAAGCACTTTACCACTGAGCCACCTTACCAGCCCTTGAGGGATAATGTTTTAAAACCTGACAGAACCTATAGTTAAAAGTTCTGAGTGTCAGCCGGGTGCTGGTGGCTCATACCTGTAATCCTAGCTACTCAGGAAGCTGAGATCTGAGGATCAAGGTTCAAAGCCAGCCCAGTCAGGAAAGTTTGTGAGACTCTTATCTCCAATTAATCACCAGAAAACCTGAAGTGGCACTGTGGCTCAAGTGGTAGGTGCTCGCCAAGAGCTGAAGATCTAAGGGACAGAGCTCAGCCCCAGAGTTCAAGCCCTACAACCAACCAAAAAAAAAAAAAAAAAAAAAAGCATTGTGTCAACAGGATCTTTGAGAAAGTGGGCTCCCTTTCTGGGAAGGCAATAGGAGATTTAGGATATTACCATTTTTGTATTTATTTTTCAATTTGGGAGCAACATACCTATTTAGGATGTGTGTACTCTCTAGCATGTGTGAAACAACGCGAGAAAAAGAAAAAGAGAGAGAAAGAAATAAAACAAACTTTTGAGGAATGGTAATACAAATAAAAACCAGATTTAAAAATATTCAATGAGCTTAGTGTAGCCTCAGCCTGCAATGGAGCTTTATGGAGGAGAGCCTGAAACAAAAGTGTGTGTCAAAGTCATGAAGGTCATGAAAGATGTGCTGAGTATCTAAGTTAGTTAAGTTTCTATATCCATAGTACTCTCCTTTAAAAAGGAAGACAATATAAATATACTTTCCCTATCATAAAACTGAGAAAATATGTTGTTAGTAAACCCATATAACAAGAAACAATAAAGAATGATCTATGGGAGGAAGTACTTAGCTGAGAAATACAGGAAGGAAAGAAGAAATGCTAAAAAAAGAGGGAAAACATACACAAATTTTCCTTTTCTGCTGATTGGAAAAACGTATGATTAGTATCAGTTCTAGGCATGGATTTCAGCTAATACCAGTCACTCAACCAACTTAGTTCAATGATTAGCTCATCAAAACCACAATGAGAGAATGCTTCATAGCCATTGACAGAGATAACATAAAAAGGGAGTCAATAACAAGCGCTGGCAGAGACATGGAGAAGCTGGAACTCTCATATCTTACTGACAGGAATATAAAATAAAGCAGTTACTTGGAAATCCTTAACAATCCCCTAGAAGGTTAAAAATTACATAATGTAGCAATTCCACTTCTAGGTATATGGCAAGAGAAATAAGAATGTTTGTGCACCCTATCCAAAATCATCATAAAATTGAAAAGATAAAATGATAAAAAAAGAAATGAAAACAAATTCACCACATAAATATAGGATGTCAAAGAAGACTTTTTCTCAAACTCCAACAAACAGGAGCTAGTCAAATGACATTCTTCGTTATGTTGAAAAAAAAAAACAACTATCTACCACAAATTTTACACCCCACCAAAAACAACTTTCAAAAACTCAAACAAGCCGGCACTGGTGGCTTATGGCTATAATCCTAGCTACTTAGGAGGCTGAGATCTGAGGACTGCAGTTCATAGCCAGTCTGGGCAGACTCTTATCTCTCATTAACCACCATAAAACCAGAAGTGGCGCTGCAGCTTAAGTGGTAAAGTGCTAGCCTTGAGCTGAAGATCTCAGAGACAGTGCCCAGGCCCAGAGTTCAAGCCCCATGACTAACTAAAAACAAAACAAAACAAAAACAACTCAAACGAAACTTGTTTAACCATAGATTGTCAGGCTCATTTCAGGCACACTTGTACTAGAAGAAATACAAAGGAAACAACGCAAGCAAAAGGATTATCATACTAAACATACTAGACAGAACTGTCTAAACAGAAGCCAAACTAGTGGAAAGTAAGGACTGATGTATGGAAAGTTATCATAGTTGGCTCTTTTTGCCTTCACTGTGAAACATCTGTCTGGAATTTGCATGGAACAGGACACAGATAAGGAGGACCTTGAAGTTCCAAATTCACAGAGAAGATTCCAATGAACTCTATTTCCTATGCTGACACGCCTTTAAAAGCTACCGTACAATGTAAGATATGGTGTTTATATGTTGTTCATTTTTTTAAAGTTGTAAATGTTCGAACTTTTCCATAACAGAAAATTAAAACAACAGCAAAAGGATCTTGAAAACTGTAGGGGAGAAAAGGCTGGCGTTTGACAGAGATCTGAGTATTAACATCATTGTTGATAATGATACAGGGGAAAGAGCCTCCGCCAGGACTCTGCTTTCTGTGAAGGCTTTGGTAGATTGGTAAGAAGTACATCAGCTGTTCATGGGTGGGGAGAGCATATAAAAACATACGGAGAAGTGAGCTTTGAAAAACCACATGACAAAGGACTATCCCTTTAAACCACAGCCTGAAGTTTATACTTTAAAAGAGGATATTTACACATCTGTGAATGAAGAGGGAATATTTTCTTCCACCCATTTCAGATCTTCATCCTGTAGAAATATATTCATATTTAGCATGTAATTAATATCATCTAAATGTGCAATTTCCTAATGGAATGTGAAACCTAAGTATTTAAACTCAAATGCATATGACATCTTTTAGTTGATACACATATCCTAAAAAAATTCGAACATATACCATACAGAAATTATGCCCAATTATTGACAAACCAGAAACTGATTTCAGATTTCTGTATTGCTTGGCTTTACCTAAATGCATAGAGGTTTTATTTTAGTTTGTTAATTTGTTTTGTGTCCTGAGAAACTATATAAATATATAAAGACAAGAAATAGAAGAACTAGCAAGATATTGTCTTGTATTAATTTTTTTTTCTTCACATTATTACTAGTTTGTTCAAGTTTTTTTTTTTCAGTCTTGGTGTTTGAAGTCAGGGTTTACCATCTCTTTTAGCATCAGGCATTACTTTGCTGCTTTTTTTTTGGTCCAGGGCTAGCCTCAGACTCCGATCTTCCTACTTAGGATTTTTTTTTAATAAAAATCATTCCCATGAAATGTTTACAAATACTGAACTTTAAGTTACCTTAGAGAGAGGACCCAACTCTAAACAATGAAATTCATTTATGTTCATAGACATTTTCTGCACAGGAAGGTAATCGTTTATACATTTGTAAGAATTTTATGGAATTTTGCACTAGTGTTTCATTCAACAGCTTGGGATTCCATATGTCCAGATTACAGAAATACAGGTTACCTATGGCTTTGCCACCAGGTAACTAAAACCATAATAATATTTCAAAAAACTTTAGTTATCATAAAACAAGTCAAAGAACATATTTTACAGAATTACAAGCTGGTGCCAGTGGCTTATGTCTGTAATCCTTACTAGTCAGGAGACTGAGATCTGAGGATCACAGTTTGAAGCCAGCCCAGGCAGAAAAGTCCCTATGCGACTCCTCTCTCCAATTAACCTCCCAAAACCAGAAGTAGCGTTGTGGCTCAAGTGGTAGAGTGCTAGCCTTGAGCTGAAGAGTTAAGGGACAGCAGAGTTCAAGCCCCATGACTGACAAGGAAAAAAAAAAAGGCTTTAAAAAACCACTTTATCACACTAAGAAGTTAAACTAGTATTGTAATGTGGCAACAGTATTTTTATACCGAGCAATATAAAACAAAACAATACTTAATATTCTTATGACAACTGATAAACAGGACACTGGCAGATCTGAGGTATAAAGACTATTAGAAAACACAGTACTCACAAAGTTTTCAGAAGTAGGCTTAGCTGTTCCATTGGAAACAGTTTTTGAGGCTCTTAATTTTATTCCTTCAGCTATAATGAGAAACAGTATAAAGTTACAAAATGGTATGGTTCTACTGTTACATTTTATAAGCCATTAAGAAAAAGTTCTTTTGGGGCTGGGAAGGTGGCTCAGTGGTAGAGCGCTTGCCTTGCAATGCATGAGGCCCTAGGTTTGATTCCTCAGCACCACATAAGCAAAAAGAAAAAAGCCGAGAGTGGCACTGTGGCTCAAGTGGTAGAGTGCTAGCCTTGAGCTGTAGAGCTGAGGGACAGGGCCCATGCCCAGAGTTCAGGCCCCACAACCGGACCCCCCCCCCCAAAAAAAGAAAAAGTTCTTTTTTCTACAGGAAAATAGTGGTGACTTTTGGCCAGGGTTCTGGTTTTAATTTGTCATCTGGAAATGCAGAAAAGAGGTGGAAAAAGTAAATAGGTTTTTAAGAAACTTGATACGTAATATATTGTACATATTTATGGGGTAAAGTACACTTTTCAATACATGCATTTAATGAAATTACGATCAAATCAGGTTACATAACAAGCTATTACTTCCTTGTGTCAGGAACATTCAAAATCCTCTATTTTGAAATTTTTAATAAATTATTAACTATAGTCACATGCAAGTACAATCTTGGTTTAAAAAAAAAGCAGTAACTAGTTCATTATTAAGGATAGTTCCAGCTGGGAAGTTTTTTCATAGCATTCTATGGTTTGCTGAGTTGTTTTCTATATGCATCTACTGGCCATTCTTCTTTTTGAATATGCTGACTTACACTGAGTTTGATTCTCAAACAGTTATAACAGGTTTGCAGCCTTGGGATAAATTCCTCTTGATGATGATAGTCTTTCCATATTTTGCTAAGTCTTATTTTCTAATATATTAAAATGATTTCTATGCTTCCATTCATTAATGACATCAGTCTGTAATATTTTTCTTGTAATGTCTTTATGAAAATTTTGGCATCTAAGTGGTACTGGCCTAATGAACGGGTTAGGAAGTATGCCTCCCAGTGGCTACTTCATCCAATTGCAACTTATTAAACAAGTTGTTCATGGTATTACTTTACATGCCCCTTTATATTGCAGTAATGTCCTATTATTTCCAACATTAGAAATCTGTCTTTTGGTACTTGTATTGTTTTTATTTCTCACTTAGGCTACGTAGCAGCAAATGAATTCTTACTAATCCTTTAAAGAAACTGTTTTTGACTCTATTCAATTTCTCTATTGTATTTTTTGTTGCAGCATTTAACTCCATCATTTCTTTCATTTAAAAACTCTAATCTCACTTTTTCACTCTTAAGGTGAATATATAGGTCACTAATTTTATATGCTTCAAATGGTGGTTTTTTTTCAGTATCTTGTTGAGACTAGCTACCAATACAAAAAAAGTCTGTCCAATACACTTCACCTAATTATCATTATTACTGGAGGCCAGAACTTTCACATAGTCCATGATTAATATCTTAATCATGAATAAACTTTTCAGATTTCTTTTAATAAGGACAGAAAAACATACAAAATTAATTGCAGATAAGACTAAGATGAAAAAAGTTGAAAACAAAGTAGAGAGACACACTAACTACATAACCATTTTTGCTGCCTGGGTAGGCCTAAACATAAGTTCATGGTATTTTAGATAAGTGACAGTACAAAACAAATGAAAAGTAATATAGCTAACAAAGAGAAGCCAGATTAAAAGGAAGGCAAAATGTAACAGAAAAAAATACCCTCAAAATAAAAGTTACATACTTATGTTGCCTTAACAAATGCTTACTTGGAATATTATAATAAAATTAAAATGAGAAAATGTTAAGTAGAAATTAAAAGAATGAAAGAACCAATGGTTCATGCCTGAAATCCTAGCACCTCAGGAAGCTGAGATCCAGAGGATAGAAGTTTCAAGCTGGGTCAGGCAGAAAAGTCTGGGAAACTGTCTCTAAAATAAGTAGCAAAGAGCTGGGCTAAAAGCATGGCTCAGTGGTAAAGTGCCAGCTGAGCAAGCAGAAGCCCCAAGTTCAAATACCAGTATGAGCAACAACAATAACAACAAAGACTGAAATAAAAACAGCAATGTAACTATAATTAGAAAAGCTCTGGGAATGACCAGGAAAGTATAAAAACAATTCAAAGATCAAGAAGAAATTCATCAATCACCACTTGGAAGATATAATACTTTCCAGGCTCTCAGCCTAGGACAACCCACAGCATCCTGTGGAAAAGCAGTTACCTGCTTTAGTACTTTAAGAGCAAATGAGTAACCAGAGCTCAAACTACATTATAATCTCAAAATGTTAACTATTAACTTGTCTTGTTATTAGTATAAAGGTTTCTATGGTTAAAAAAGCCTTTAAATATTTTTGAAAAGACTTTAAATGACATACATGACCATGTATCATAGATATACAATCTTGCAATTACAGTATGTACAATACTTAATTTAAAAATATCACTCACTTAAATTTTCAGATGTTACCATGAATTCTTCAACTTCATCATCAGAATCATCTATTAAGGGCATGAATGCATATCTATACAAAAACAAGGAGTAGGTTCACTAGTGTGGTTGAATCCCCTCAGCTTTCATTCTATATCTAAAATGGTCATTATATATTTATTTTATTTATTTATTTATTGTCAGTCATGGGCTTGAACTCTAAGCCTGGGTGCTGTCCTTCAGCTCTTCAGCTCAAGGCTAGCATTCTACCACTTGAGCCCAGGGCCTCATGCATGGGAGGCAAGCACTCTACTACTGAGCTACCTTCCCAGCCCTCATTATATGTATTTTAAAGATCTACATTTTTTAAAGTTTCTTAAAAATTAAAATAATAAAAATATGCTACTCACAAGTTAGCTAGAATTACTATGAAGAAACTATGAAAAGGAAGTTCTGAAATCCTGTTGATACAGCAAAACCAGTTAAAATCTATCTAAGAAGCAAGTCTGCAAAATACAAGGGAACTTTCTGATGTACTTCTTTCTCCAAGACAAGTGCACCTCCCTGCCCACCATGTTTTAGCTTTCCCCTTCATAAAAGAGGGAAAATAAAATAATAAAATAATCGGTGAAAATAAAACCCACGGATGGAGCCACTTCCACTAAGTTATACCCACACCTTCCTCTCAAAAACTCTACTGATTGTTAATAGATATAACTTCATTAAAGGTCTTTTTTTTGGGGGGGGGGTGGGGTCAGTTGTGGGGCCTGAACTCTGGGCCTGGGCACTCTCAGTTCTTTAGCTCAAGGCTAGCGCTCTACCACTTGAGCCACAGCACCACTTCCAGCTTTTTCTGCTTACGTGGTGCTGAGGAATCTAACCCAAGGGCCTCATGCATGCGAGGCAAGCACTCTACCAGTGAGCCACCTTCCCAGCCCCTTAAAAGGTCTTTTTAAAATATCTATTAATTTTTTTTGTCAGATATGAGGCTTGAACTCAGGGCCTGAGTGCTGTCCCTAGTGCTCTACCACTTTGAGCCACAATGCCATTTCTGGTTTTCTGGTGGTTAATTGGAGATAAGAGTCTCACAGGGCTTTCCTGGGGCAATGGCTCACGATTTTTCAATTACCTATTAATTTTATGGGTGTCTTTGCTTCACAAGCCAAGATAGATGTCCATTTACACCATCTAATAATTGGGGATCACTTTTATAAGTTGCTACATTCACGTTATACTGTGCCTTTAAAAGCAATGTGGTATGCTGGGCAACACTGGCTTGGCTCATACCTGTAATCCTAACTATTCATGAAGATGAGATCTGGAGGATCTCAGTTTAAGCTATCCCAGTCAGAAAAGTCTGAGAAACATCATCTCCAAAGTACCTGGCAAAAAGCTGGGCTCAGGGTATAATGGCTCACTGAGGGGCAGAGTACCAGCTGAACAAGCAAGCCACGTGAACATTAGGGTCTGAGTTTAAAAAGCAGGTACCAGCAAAACAGGAAAAACAAGTATTGTGTGGTAGCTCTATAAGATGATAAGAATAATCTACTTCATTTATTTTTATTATTTTGGAGGTATTGGGGCTTGAACTCTGGGCCTTGTACTCTACAACTACCTCCCAAACTCTTTGGTATTAGTTATATTTTTAATAAGATCTTGCATTTGGATTTCAGATTTTTTAATTAGGGATGCTTAACCAGTAAAGTCCAAAGCCTAAACAATACTCCAAAATCTAAACAATTCTCAGTTGAAAACATTTCTATACCAAGCATCTTGGATAAAGGATGCTCAATGTGTAGTACTAACCAAACTGGCCTCCATACTATACCATGTTATACTTTCTCAATAACCCCAAAACATGCATTCTTTCACAGCTCAATCTTATTCTACTCCTGTCTTAAAGATTTCCCTTTTCCACCTTCCCTGTACTGCTTTATGCATCTCTTATTCAGCGCTGCATTTGGTTTTACTCTTTACTTGACTATATTCTGCTTAAAAGTAGAAATGCTTCCTCATAGTTTTTATGAATGTGTTTTTGACATTATAGAAAATCAACAAATGCCTGCCAACTTAAATTCCCAATGTTAATTAAATACCTTTGATTATTTGCCGATGGCCTCCACAAAAACATTATTACAATAAGGATAAGTGAAAAAAGGAAGCTCCAAAATGCATCATCAACCCAGAGCTCCATCCAGTCCTAGAGGATAATTTAAACATGAAAAGTTAATTTTTTGACAGACATCCAGATTTCCATTCAAACAGTAAATAATGTCAAGCACTAAAGATATTTCTTAACCAAATAAACAAGTCTGTATTATTCAAGTTTTAAAGATCTGTTTAATGTTGTATACATTCACTTCCATAACATTTTAGGGTTAAGTCTCAAAGCACCCATACTTCAAGAAGAAATTCTGACAGTGATTCCAAACCAGAATGCTCTTCTAACAGATTTGAATGTTCTTCACAATTCATCCCAGGTGAAGAACATGTCAGCATTCATTCATTAAGGAAACCTATTAGAAGCTAGATCACCCTAAAAGTGTCATTTTCAGACGGTTGCATATTAATTTGAATACATAAAAGTATAACCTTTACAAGAAAAAAAATTAACAGAAAGATTTGGGAAACAAAAAAATCTAAAACGTATACTTAGAATTTCAAGTTAAGAATACAAACATAAGAAAATGGGAGGAATTTCCAGAAGGTTCTGCCTCCTTTTTCATTCAACTGTCCTAAACACAGAGCAGCTCAGAATTCTGATTACTCATGTAGAATTAGTGACAATCTGAATTGTAAACCACAAAAGAGGGTTTTCCTATTCTAAGCTCAAGAAGTATTTGCTCTCCCTCATAGAGAACCTATGGGGAACACCTGCCAAAGATGAGTAACATCAGAGAAACAGGTCAGACACAAAAGGGTCAGTCCTGTTTGGGTAGAGTTACGCTTAGCATGTGCAAAGGTCCTGTTTGGGTAGAGTTATGCTTAACAGGTGCAAAGGTTCTGGTTCTCTCTGGCAAGGAGAAACAATGCTTTGAAGGGGAGAGGAAAGTATCACCTAATCTTACAGTGGGGTGGGAAGGGACGGAAGAACTCTTCTCTTCCTCTCTTGTTCAGCATGCTGGAGATCAAATACTAGGACCTGGTAGATGCTAGGCAATGGCCTTGCCTCTGAGCTATTTATTACCCTATCCATTTCCTCTTAAACTATGTAAGAAGAGAATTCTTTTTCAAAATATAAGAAAACAAGTTGAGGAAAAAGACATGATAGGAGATGGCAATTTAGTATGATCTTTTTCAGATTCATTTAAAAGAAACAAAAGGCTTGATAATTCTATGCAAAATAATTCAAAGAAAAAGGAAAATTTCTACTAAAATTACCATATTAAAAAGAAAATTCCACAAAATAAAATAGTATAACTAAAAATGACAAGGGCTTAATAGGAAACTTTACTTACGGACTGGCATTTTGCAATTCTAAATGTCTTAGTTGTCCACACCATAAACACTATAGAGGCTGAAAGACACAAAGTTACCTTTAAAACAACATGTAACACTAAAATAATTTTTTTTTTTGCCAGTCCTGGAGCTTGAACTCTGGGCCTGGGCACTGCCCTTGAGCTTCTTTGGCTCAAGGCTAGTGCTCTACCACTTGAGCCACAGCATTTCAGCTTTTTTCTGTGTATGTGGTACTGATGGATGGAACCCAGGGGTTCATGCATGCAAGGCAAGCACTCTACCACTGAGCCACCTTCCCAGCCTAAAATAATTATTATAGTAAGAAAAATAAATAGCTTACCAAGTACAGCAAATATAAGAGTATTAGTAAAGTGTCTATACAATGAAAACTTCACTGTGTTCTTTCTTAGCCTTAGAGTCTTCATAGTCTGTGCCAAACTTATGAAAATGTGAAAAGAGTTAAGGAAAAACATTTTCAATGATAATGAACTGTTTATAAAAACAGAAGAGGTCTTCTAATATATTTCCAAAGTTATTAATCACAACTATACCTCCTTAAATTTAAGCAAATAAAAACACAAAATATTATCCTAATATTCATAATCATGATACTCATGTTACACAGAGTTTGCTTTATAATTCTTTTTTTTTCTGAAATAAGTGAACAAAGTTCAAAGGAAAACAATGTAAGCAAGAAGACCTGTGATGGGTTCCTGGAAAGGCAAGCTCCTGCAGCCCAGGGCACCACAGCTGAGCGGAGCTCCTCAGCTCAGACACTTCTGATAGGTTGCAGTACCACATGCGTTTGCCCTGTGCCTCTTGTGCTTTGCTCCCTCCCACCCTTCCTCCTTCCCTTTCCTTTCTTCCTTGCCTGCCTATGCCCTGTGCCTCTTGTGCTTCGTTCCTTTCTTCTTTTACTTCCATTCTCCTTCCCTCTCTTCCTTCCTTCCTTCCTTCTCCTTTCCTTTTTTCCTCTCCCCCTTCTTTCTTCTTTCTACCCTTTCTTTTAGGCTATTCTTAGGTTATATAATTAAGAAGTCAATTTATCTATCAATTCCATTTTATAAATTAAAAAAACCTGAAATATGTCAAATAAAACAAATCTGAACTAAGCAGGGGAGAGATTTCATTAGGAAGATTATTGTAGTGGGGAGAAGATTCCTGCAATTAGAGGAATACTAGAACTGTAAGATCTTCAAGTCCCAAAAGCCCAAGAAAAGGGCTTCAAGAGAGCAAGAAACAAGGCTAAAAGCAGCAGGAATGGGGAGTGGGTGGCCTAACTGGACACACTGTCCAGGTCTTTCCTTAAGATCTGTGGTTCTCAGGAGAGGACCATATGGAAGGTTGTGTGCCAGTTCAAGCTGTTAGTGAGTCAAAGTTCAGGGCTTTGGGAAGGTCAGTTTTTGTTCAGATTGGCCAGTGGATATGCAGAATTCAATTAATCATTTATGAGTGAACAAGGGGAAATTTAGAGGGTCTGGGTCTGGCTTTATCTAGGTAAGCTAGGGAGTTATCTTGTAGTCTGACCCAAGTCTTGTATGAAAAAGCATTTCTCTGCAATAGGGGGTTCCCAAAACACAGATGGGGCCGGGGTGGGGAAGAGGAACAAAGTTCCCATTTCTGTTTTCCAGGAGCACAGGGCTCAGGTCAAAGTCAACATTGCTAAGATAAAGAAACATAAGGACTTTTTTAAACTGAGTCCTCAGCTTAGCAGTGAAGCAGGATTTAGGGAGATGGTTGCCCTCATACGCAACCCCTCTTCAGAGCAGACACAATAGCAGAGTTGAGCAAAAAAAATGCAAGTAGCATATTTATATCCACTTTAAACTCTAAATACCTCAATAACCGAAAGACTTTATTTCCAGCCAGCCAGGCATCAGGTGTCTCACAGCTGTAAGACTAGCTACTTAGGAGGCTAGACCTGAAGATCATGCTTTGAAGCCACCCAGGAAAGTCCTCTTATTCCAAAAAGTTGGAAGTGGCGCTGTGGCTCCAGTGGTAGAGCACTCGCCTTGAGCTGAAGAGCTGAGGGACAGCGCCCAGGCCCAGCATACAAACCCCAAGACAAAAAAAAAGAAATAAAAATATCAAAAACATCTTGGAAACTGCTTAAGGTTTGTTTATAAAATACTTACAAAGTTAGGTGATGTTTAAGCCATCCCCTGCCCCCCCCCCCACATCCCCCCTCCACCCTTGTACCCCCAACCTCTTAAAGAAAAGCATTAGAAAAGCTTGCTTCATCCCAGGGTTGCAGTGAGAAGAGAATGGCAGGAACTACTGTAGTAAGAAAGGATATCCACCAGCACAAGCCAGAGTCAAGGAGAGACAGGGGGAGGCTGGCCAGAAGAACAAGATCAGAATCATTCGCCTGTAGCAAAACAGCAATACAAATTAAAAAGCAAAAAAGACAGAAACCAACAAATAAGCAGGAAGGGTGGGGACATGACAAACATTACAGCCTTTGAATTTTCCAGGCTAATTTTTCTAATACTTGATTATAGAGTTAAGATTCTTACAGGATTGGCTATACTTAAACATTACATTTATTAAAGTCAGAGAAGGTAGGGTCATTATCAAATTATATATCTACAATAGTCCTTTTTTAAATTTTTTTGCTTGTCATTTGTAATCACTTAGAAACTTGATTTGTTTTCCTACAGAAAATGGGACTTTTTTTACTTTAATCAAAACTTACAAAACTTGAAGGTAAACCCCACAAATTCAAGTTCAAGTGGAAATGGAAACTAGATTTTCTTTCTCCCACTAAACAAGATAATTTTACTTTCTAGTTCATGACTATTTTAAGTAAATCACATGACTATTTTAAGTAAATTGTGCTTTCCTTATCTTCTCACACCAATTTGGCTCATTATGTACTGGCATGTCCTAAAGTTAAGGCTTCCACACAATGGGAGAATTCAGATGCCAAAGAATTGTAGAGAAGATGGAGCAGCTCCTCTGGAATTTTCTGCAGTGTATCACTGGCTGTTTTTTCTACGAACTACAATGAGGATACTTAAAAAGAAATCTTTGAAATACATATCTACAAATCACCAAGGCAAAGAATACTACAAATTCTTTCAAAGTGCAAAGTGTACACAGCTCAATTACTGGGTCAGTCGTGGGGCTTGAACTCTGGACCTGAGTGCTGTCTCTCAGCTCTTCAGCTCAAGGGTAGCGATCTACCACTTGAGCTACAGCGCCACTTCTGGTTTTCTGGTGGTTTACTGGAGATAAGAGTTTCACAGACTTTCTTGCCTGGGCTGGCTTTGAACTGCAATCCTCAGATCCCAGCCTCCTGAGTAGCTAGGACTACAGGCATGAGCCACCGGTGCCCAGCTCCAAAAAATTTTTTAAATTTAATTTAATTTTTTTACTGGTCAAAATTTCAAGCAATAAACAATTTGCAAGAAGAGACAATCCAAATTGAATAGATTGCTTAGACTCACTTTCTAAACACAGGAAATAAAGTAAGGCAGTAAAATCTAGAGATTCGAATCAACCTCTACCCTCCCAATTCCAGGTGTGTTCACTCCTCTTGTCCTTTCCTCAGGACAGTGTGTACCCTAACATGCTGTGCAGTGAAGCAGAACTTAGCCCGGCACAGAGCTGGTGCACTGCTTACATGGTATCTTTACATATTTTCTAGTGTAGAAGAGTGAAAGGTTACACGAAGAAGTATATTACTTTTGGAAAGAGCAGATTTATTTACCTATCATTTGATTCAGTAAAGCTGGACTCTAAATCTAAACTAATAGCTGCGAATATAAATACAGCAAGCTTTTAAAGCAAGTTCAGTCAGAACTAACTTTTAAAATCAGGTATTATTTATAACTATGCTTCTCAGATTCTGAATGGACCCATGCATGAGTCAGAATTTTATTTATTTATTTGCCAGTCCTGCAGCTTGAACTCTGGGCCTACGCACTGTTCCTGAGCTTCTTTTGCTTAACACTAGCACTCTACCACTTGAGCCACAGAGCCGCTTCCAACTTTTTCTGTTTATGTGGTACTGAAGAATCGAACTCAGAATTTCATGCATGCTAGAAAATCATTCTACTACTAAGCCGTATTCTCAGACCTAATTCAGGAAATTTTAATGGCTCCTGTGTGAGGTATGCTTTGTAAAAGGAGGCTCTACAATTTTCATCAGATTTTTCAAAGGCTTTTCTCATTTTGGATCTTAGTTCAGAACTACTTCTCTGAAGAGTAAATTAAAATTCTGTTTGTGCCTAGGAATGTAGCTCAGTGGTATAGCACTTGCCTAGCATGTGTATCGCCCTGGGTTCAATCACCAGTATCAAAAAAAATTTTTTAACTGGAAGGATACTAGGAATTCATAAGTTTTTTAAGGAATACATGGGCTAGACACAGTGGCTCAAGCCTGTGATCCTACCAACTTGGGATTAGGAATCACAGTTTAAGGCTAGCCTTGGCAATGCCCAGCACAGTGACCTATTATCCCAGCTATAGGAAAAACACAGTGACTGGGAGCAGTGACATATGCCTGTCATTCCCAGCAACATGGGGTAACATAAGGAGGAGGATCACAGGCAAGGCTGGCCTGGAAATGAGACACTATATTGAAAATAACCAATAGAAAAAGGGGCTGGAAGTATGGCTCAAGTAGGAGAGCACCTGCCTAGCAAGTGTGAGGTCCTGAGTTCAACCCCCAATGCTGCCAAAAGAAAAAAAGCAAAAAGGGACAGTGCCACGCCTACTCCAGTGGAGTCTGCTTAGCATGGGAAACCAGCTTTCAGACCTGAGAATGAGGCTTCAAAGAGACCTATCTCTGAGTATTGGGACTTCACCGAAGTCTACCTCGGAGAATAGGGCTTCAAAGAGGCCTACTCCTGGAAAGGCTGGCAAACCCCTGGGAAAGTTGTGTTTATGCTTTTCTTCACTGTATAAGAGTGCCTATTAATCTTTTACTGTTTCTGCTGCTCATTGTACTTACTCATGCTCAACGTTCCTTTATTTAAAGCTCTTTCTTAAGAGTGTTGATGACTCCAATATCTAATGAGTGTCTTAAAAATATGACTAACTCACCAGAGTTAAGTGCTACACTGAAACCCCTCTTATGGAGGCTAGTAGACAAGTCATAAGTAAATATAAAAGTATTGGGGGTTTCACGACATCACTTCAGCAGAAGGAATTGTTTGTAAGAGATTTGCAAGAAGCTGTAGGCGAGGCTAGAACAGAAAGAATGTATGGCAATTGCTGAGATAACTACTTAGGAGAAAGAATTTCCTGCTACTCTCTTTTATTTACTAAGAGACTTGCTAGATCTAAGCTTCCTTGGTGCTTACTATTAAAGAACAGGAAAGATCTTATGGGACAGTTAAGGCCTCTATAAAAATAGGTAATAGTTAATTGGTGACAAACATCGAAACCCATTGTATTTCTTAGAGATAAGTCGGAAACAAGTGCCTATCAGGCGACCAGCTGGTGACCACCCAAGAATGAAGCCCTGCAACAAGATTGTGTAACCTTTTGCCCTTTCTTATGGAGACTTTTTGCTATAAAAGTTTGTTATCCTCTGCATTAAATCGCACTCAGCATCCACTCCTCTTGTGTGTGAGTTGTCTGTTTGCCATCTCCTCACCTATTCCAGTTCCTCCTCTAGGTGTTCTCCGTTGTCCCGACAGAGCCGGTCTGCGGCAGGACAGGTCAGGCTTAGAAAACAAACCACATGGGACTCTAAGAAGTCCCGCGGCAGTGCTGCATTTGCTAGGCCTGCAAAAATGGAGACTTTTCCTATGGAGAGGATATTCAGGCAAGTCCAAGCCCTCTGGCCCTTTCTGTATGGCACATAGATGAGAAAATGTAAAAGAATAAAGGGCCAGGTGCTGGTGGCTCACGCCTGCAATCCTAACTACTCAGGAGGCTGAGATCTGAGGATCACGGTTCAAAGCCAGCCCACGCAGGGAAGTCTGTGAGACTCTTATCTCCAATTAACCACCAGAATACCAGAAGAGGTGCTGTGGCTCAAGTGGAAGCATGCTCGCTTTGAGCTGAAGAGCTCAAGGATAGTGCCCAGGCCAAGGGTTCAAGCCCCACAACCAACAACACAACAACAAAAGAATAAAGGAAAGCATAAAAGAAAATTCAATGTCAAACAATAAAGATAGCAAAAAACAGTGAAAATGAAAGGACACAGATAAGAAATCTATCTAATAGGAAAGAATTCTGATAAAGACACATACAGAAGAAGCATAAAAATTATGTTCGGGAACATCTATATTCTGTTCTAACCAAGCCACGTTTTCTGTACAATTTTTCATTTTCACTAGTGCCACCAATGAGTCATTGAGAAGCCTCTGGAGGACCCAGTTGCCATTTGCCTCTGAAACTCCTGCTGCTGCCAACATGCCTGGGACCCTCTACCTTCACAGATCTGTTCTGTTCCTGGCTATCTTGACCTCTGGCCTTAGGCAAGACCAGCTTTCTGAAGCACTGGCCACTGTTGGCAATCACCTCTTAATCTCCCCAACTCTTTCTCTGCCACTATGGCAGCTTCTGGCTCTTCCAGCTCCTTTAACCAGCTGTTCCTCCCAGATAGGTCTTTCTCCCCATAAGGCACCACTATGGGCTAGTCTATATGTTCTCCAGCCTCTTCACCGTTAAAACTTCCTCCTGACCTTCATCAACTATTCTAACCCTCTTGCAAACCAAGGCTTTAATTTCCAACTCCATTTTTCATCTAAGTGCCGTAGCCCTAGGTTATCCAAATCTAGTCCATTATAGCCTCTCCTCTAAATTCATTGCTTAAGAATGGCAGTGCTGCCCCTGGAAATCCCAATGGAGCAACCATTTCCAACATGTCTAGCAATTACACTTTCCTCATTTTCCCTACACCATTTCTGACCCCTCATTCTGCTTTAGACAGCTGCAAATGACTCCTTAGTCTAGTAAGACTTCTTGCCTCTAATCTCTTTTTCAAGTCATTTTCTTCTATCATCTGATTCTTTCAACCATAGAGTTCATCATGCTACTCCATGCTACTCACTTGAAGCCTCATTTGTTTTCTGTGCTCTTCCTTCAGAAGGGACTTTCCCTTGTGGCCCCATGTACATGATTCTCTTGGCTCCAAGAAAGCTCTCCTTGGAATTCTGCCACTATCCCTTTATAGTTTCATGCTTCCAACTGTTCATTCTCCTCCATTTTCCCCAGAATGCCTTTCTCCCAATTCTCTTCCTAGTAAGCTCCTATTTGTCCTACCTGTCTCAGTTTAAATGTTGCTATCTCTGTTAAGTCTTCCCTGATTTTTATGCTAGAACACTGTCTCTTTTCCCTCTACTCACACATCATCATTTTATATTTCATTCTATCATTATTATAAATTTTTTAAAATCTGATTTTCATGATACAAATAACTATTTTTGAAGGACAGAGTAAAGGATATGAACCATACAAAAATGGAGTCAATAACTGCCAAAATAATGTCTCCCAAAACAACAGCTAAGTGTTTAGAACCCTGAAAAATAAAATTGGGGGAAAAAAATCTGAATCTGTAAGTTCCATTACAGCATAGCAATTATGATGTCATGAAGAAACACAATTTAGCTTATTTCATTACTTTAATATTTCATTTCTTTTTTCTTTTGTTTGTCGGTTGTGGGGCTTGAACTCAGAGCCTGGGTGCTGTCCCTGAGCCTCTGTGCTCAAGGCTAGCACTCTACCACTTGAGCCACAGTGCCACTTGTAAATATTTCATTTCTTAAGACATTTGTTTAGTACACAAAACTTCTGTTTTGGCAACAGCAAATGTTAACTTGTTCCAAGTTACTTCATGTTAAGTAAAATTATTACTTATATCACAGTGTAAAACTGTTATAGACTGTCAAATAGAAAGCATTATGCCTCCCATCTCACTTGGGTGAGCCATTTCAACCTCCTCCCTCTTCATACCACCTAAAGCCAGGGCTAGTACTTAAATGGACTCCTAGCCTCCCCTGAACTTATTGTAAAGGGACATACATACCAAAAATCAAGCAAAAAGCAAAATAAGGGAAGGGGGCTGTGTGGAAGGGCATAAACTGGAAATTAGGTATTTACTCTGATAATGATATTTAAGACAGTTATAATGCATGTGCTACGTTTATATGGGGGGCATTTATTTTTTCCATTTTCTTTTCAACAAAGATTCATTATGAAATGCATTTGTGTGTTTATGTATTTGGTTCTTCATTTTATAAAGGTAAAATTAAATATGCTCAAAGATTAAATGACCAGGTACACAATACACAGCATGAAAGATGTATCAAGAACAATAGAAAAAGGTCTGCTTTACAACAATACTAAATAAATGTCTTGCTTTAAGGGTCAGATCAAGGGATGTGAAATAAATTTATATGGAAGCATACAGATTAACTACCTTACTTATAAATCTAATCTAAAAGGCACTGGGTAAAATGACAAGGTTCTTTGAATCAAGTAATATACAATAAATTTTTGGGTTTTTAAAAACAGAATTCAAGGGCTAACACTTACTAGGCAAACACTCTACCAAATGAGCCATGACCTCAATCCTTTTCGCTTTTCTTAGTTTGTTTTTCAGATAGGTTTTTGTGCTTTTTACCCAGACTGGCCTAGGATTTTGATCCTCCTATCTTTGCCTAATCTCTGAGTAGCTGGGATTACAGACAGATGTGTACTACCATCCCTAGCTATAGAAAGGTTCCTCATCATTCCATCCTCAACTGTTTACTAAGAAAATCTAAAGCTAGGAATCTAGGGGTCTTCACTGACAATAATGCTTCTCTAGAGAGTAAAATATTGGTGCTAATATTACCAGATCTTCTTCACCTGAATGTTACCTGCTGACAACTCTAATAGTAGGGTCTTCTGAATCCCCTAAATAGCAAGTCCTCAGGAAGTGAGAGTATTAAATGTAATGTTTACATGCCTGAAGGCTATGATTCACTTTTAATCTTTTTAACTTTCTGTTTTGAACATATGCTTTTAAATCCAAGATTAAGGAAGGTATGAATAGATTGTAAGGACAGAAGCAATGTTCTTTTTTTTTTTTTTTTTTTTTTTTTTATTGTAAAGCTACTATACAGAGGGTTACAGTTACATGAGTGAGGTTATGAGTACACTTCCTCTTGAACATTGTTACCCCCTCCATTGTTTTCCCCCTACCATCCCCTCCCTCCCTCCCTTCCCCGAGGTTCTTTTTTTTTTTTTTTTTTGATTGTGATTAAATGATTACATAATTTCAAAGTCACAAGTTCATTCTAACTTCCCTGGAGCAAATTGTCTACCACAGTCTGTAATATATAACAGTGTTCACATGTTATATACCATATTTGTGATCAGCAGCATGAGGATATTTAGTAGTGGTTCAACCAGATGAGCGGGAGTTCTTTGTTTCTTAAGTCCTGTTAGTTTTGTCGTATCACCTAACCTTTTGGATTTAGCATCCACTTATGAGGGAGACCATGTACCGTTTGTCTCTTTGTTCTTGGCTTACCTCGCTCAACATGATTCCTTCTAGCTCCATCCATTTCCCTGCAAATGCCATTATTTTGTCATTTCTAATGGCTGCATAATATTCCATTGTGTATAGATACCACAATTTTTGGATCCATTCATCTGTGGTGGGGCACCTAGGTTGTTTCCATATCCTAGCTATTGCGAACAGTGCTGCAATAAACATGGAGGTGCACGTGTCCTTGTATATTGGTTCCTGTTGTTCAGGGTAGATGCCTAGAAGTGGTATGACTGGGTCGTAAGGGAGGTCAATCTTTAGCTTTCTAAGGACCCTCCAGACTGCTTTCCAAAGTGGTTGTATAAGTGTACATTCCCACCAGCAGTGTAATAGGGTTCCTCTTTCTCCACATCCCCTCCAGCATTTGTCGTTGGCTGATTTGTGGATGTGGGACATTCTGACTGGGGTAAGGTGGTATCTCAGGGTTGTCTTTATTTGCATTTCCTTCACCACCAGGGATGATGAACATTTCCTCATGTGTTTCTTTGCCATTTTTATTTCTTCATTTGAGAAGTCCCTCTTTAGTTCCCTTGCCCATTTAGTAATTGGTTTGTTAGGTTTGGGAGGGATTAGTTTCTTGAGTTCCCTGTATATACAGGATGTTAACCCCTTGTCTGATATATTGCTGGTAAATATTTTTTCCCAATTAGTTGGTTGTCTTTCTAGCTTAGTTGCGATAGATTTAGCTGTGCAGAAGCTTTTTATTTTAAGGTAGTCCCATTTGTCGAGTCTCTCTCCAACTTGTTGTGACCCTGGGACTCTGTTCAGGAAGTTCCTTCCTATGCCTATTAGTTCAAGTGTCTCTCCTACTCTGTCCTGCAGTAGTTTCAGAGATTCAGGTTTAATGTTAAGGTCTTTAATCCATTTTGAGTTGATGTTGGTGCATGGTGATAGGCTGGGGTCCACTTTTAGTTTTCTGCATGTGGCTGCCCAGTTTTCCCAGCACCAGCGGTTGAAGAGGCTGTGTTTCTTCCATTGTATGTCTTTGGCTCCTTTGTCGAATATCAGCTGGCTGTAGGCCTGTGGATTTATATCTGGATCTTCTATTCTGTTCCATTGGTCTTCGGGTCTGTTTTTGTGCCAGTACCATGCTGTCTTTGTGATTATAGCTCTGTAGTAGAGTTTGAAGTTCGGCATGGATAGCCCTCCCATATTGTCTTTATCCCCTAGAATTGTTTTGGCTATTCTAGGTCTTTTGTTGTTCCATATAAATTTTTGGACTGTTTTCTGTATTTCAGTGATGTACGTCATTGGGATTTTAATAGGAATTGCATTGAATTTGTATATTAGTTTTGGAAGTATCACCATCTTTACTATATTAAGTCGGCCTATCCAGGAGCATGGGAGGTCTTTCCATTTCCTAGTGTCTTCTGCAATTTCTTTCTTTAACTTTTTATAGTTCTCATTAAATAGTTCTTTTACATCTTTGGTTAGGTTAATTCCTAAATATTTTATTTTTTGGGAGGTTATTGTGAATGGGGTTGCTCCCTTTATTTCCCTCTCTTCCTGTGCGTTATCAGTGTATAGGAAGGCAACTGATTTTTGTGGGTTTATTTTGTATCCTGCTAGTTTGCCGAAGTGACTTATGATTTCTAAAAGTTTGGGGATGGAGTTTTTGGGATCGTGGAGGTATAGTATCATGTCGTCTGCAAAAAGGGATAGTTTCACTTCTTCTTTCCCTATGCGGATCCCTTTAATGTCTTTTTCTTGCCTTATTGCCCTGGCTAAGGGTTCTAGGACTATGTTGAAGAGGAGTGGAGACAGTGGACATCCTTGCCTTGTTCCTGTTTTTAGGAGGATTGGTTGTAGCTTTTCCCCATTAAGTATAATATTGGCTATTGGTCTGTCATAAATGGCTTTTATTGTTTTTAGAAATGTTCCTTCTATTCCTATTTTCTCCAGAGCTTTTAGCATGAATGAATGTTGAATTTTATCAAAGGCCTTTTCTGCATCTGTGGCGATAATCATGTGATTCTTGACCTTGGCTCTGTTGATATGCTGGATTACATTTATTGACTTACGTATGTTAAACCATCCCTGTGTCTCTGGGATGAAGCCTACCTGATCATAGTGTATTATTTTTTTTATGTGTTTCTGGATTCTGTTAGCTAGAATCTTGTTAAGGATCTTTGCATCTGTGTTCATCAAGGAGATTGGCCTGTAATTCTCCTTTTTGGTTGGGTCTTTGCCTGGTTTGGGGATGAGTGTGATATTGGCTTCGTAGAATGAGTTTGGGATAGCTCCCTCCTTCTCTGTTTCTCTGAAGAGAGAAGCAATGTTCTTTAAAAGAATAATATGCAGCCGGGCACCAGAGGCTCATGCCTGTAATCCCAGCTACTCAGGAGGCTGAGATCTGAGGATTTCGGTTCAAAGCCAACCCAGGTAGGAAAGTCTGTGAAACTGTTATCTCCAATTAAGTGGCACTATGGCTCAAGTGGTAGAGTGCTTGCCTTGAGCTGAAAAGCTGAGGGACAGCGCCCAGGCCCATAGTTCAAGCCCCATGACTGACAAAAAAAAAAAAAAAAGAAAATAGAATATGCACATTTCTGAATGGAGCTAATCCTGGGACAATATGACTATATCCGTCACAATCAATCATTTCAGTTTAGGAACATATTATCTAGCCTTTTCCTTCAGGAAGTATTTTAAAACAAAAGAGAAATATATCACAGAATAAGGCTCATATTAGGTCTTTTCCCTTAAATTTTTATCTTTAAAATATCACTTCAAGAATTATAAAGTAAAATCACTTTCACACCAATAACAAAAAGATATGATAGAGGAATTAATACAGTTTTTACCCCAATGACTCTCATTACACCTTCAATAGCTGCAAAGATCAAGTAAAGCAGTCCCAGTCCAACCACTCGGTGCATGACTGTTCCTAAACGGGGCCTGGAGGGAATAAGAGGACACAGACAAAACAGGAATCACTAGAATGCATACTAAGTTTAAAAAAAAAAAAAAGGCAACATTTCCAGTACCAAAGAAGGTCCTGTCTAATCTAATCAGTGTACTCATGTCTCTGGGATTCTTCATAGGAGTCAGTGTACTCTGTGTTCCCAGGAGAATCAGGCCTGGGAGCACCAGGTCTTCCACTAGGACCCAAACCTGTACAGATACCTAGGAAGAAAAATATCTGAGACCACCAAGGTCTTTGCTGAAGTTCAAGACATATAATGAACATAACAAGTAGCATTTACTTGTCTTATTTTTGGCAGAACTGGGGCTTGAATTTAGGCCTCTGTGCTTTCTAGTCAGGTACTCATCACTGTCACTTGAACTATGTCCCAGCCCTTTTGGATTGAGATGGGGCCTCATGAGATTTTTCCTCAGGCCTTGAACCTTGATCATTCTGATCTCTGCTTCCTGAGTAACTGAGATTATAGGCATGAAATACTATACCTAGCTTAAAATAACATTTTTGAATTTTGGCACCAGTCCTGGGTCTTGAACTCAGGTTCTGGGCACTGTCCCTGAGCATTTGTGCTCAAAGATAGCCCTCCACCATTTGAGCCAAGTTCCACTTCTGGCTTTTTTGGTAATTAATTGTGGATAAGAGTTTCATGAACTTTCTTGCCTTTGCTGGTTTCAAACTGGGATCCTCAGATTTCAGCCTCCTGAGTAATTAGGATTACAGGTGTGAGAGCCAGCAGCACTAGACTACATTTCTGACTCTTAAAATATGAGTTTGTATATTAACTAAAGTATGGTATTTACAGGGGAGAAATTAAGAAAATGAATACCAGGAAACTGAGGTCAAGGGCAGGGAATATAGACTAATAAAGAGAGGAAGGGGGAGAGAATGTAGTCATAATATTCAATGTATGTTCCATGAAATTAAGAAAATTGAGGAGGAATTGGTTTGGGAAGGATGAGGAAAATGATGAAAGGGGTGTCACTCAACATACATTGTATTTATAAACTGATTTATTGAATGGCAACTTCTTTGTACAACTAGTTAAAGATAATAAAAATATAATAACAAAAATGAAAAATGTTATGAAAATGGAAAGATGGCTTTATAGTAACAATTTGGAAGTAGAAGGGAAATCAGATGATACATGATATGAATTGCATATATATATATATATATATATATATATATGTAATCTCAGTATTTATCTAAGTAAAATGTTTTACTTATATGTTTTACATATATAAACAAAATAATTTTATTTTAAAGCTATTTATTTATTTAGTTAGTTATTTTGTGTGCTAATCTTGGGCTTGAATTCAGGGCCTGGAGCTGAGTTTGTTTTGTTTTGTTTAAGGCTGTTGCTCTACCACTTGAAACATAGCTCCACTTGGTTTTTTTTACACATATATTTTAAAATACATAACTCTCTTTTGCTGGGTGCTGGTGATTCATGTCTATAATCCTAGGTACTCGGGAGGCTAGGATCTGAGGATTGTGATTTGAAGCCAGCTGAGGTGCTAGTGGCTCACATCTATAATGCTAGCTATTCAGGAGGCTGGGATCTAAGGATTGTGGTTTGAGGCCAGCTTGGGCAGAAAAATCTGTGAGAGTCTTATCTCCAATTAACCACAGGAAAAAAAAAAAAAGAAAAAAAGCCAGAAGTGGAGCTGTGGCTCAAGTGGTAGTGTGTCAGCCTTGAGCAAAAATGCTCAGGACAGCACCCAGACCCTGAGTTCATACTCTAGTACTGGCACAAACAAACTTCTCAGAGTAATTTGAAGAAAAAATTGGTTTTGAGAACATACTTAAAACAGTCATTGTAAAACAGATTAAACTGATGCTCATAGTTCATGGCTAAGGCTATTCACCTCATTTGCTGACTCTAAATGCTGATTCTTTATTACCAGAACCACAAACGGCAAAAAAGTTCTCACTTCGTAAAATGCATTGTGCCATTCCCCACCAGCTTGCTCTCCTATTGCTTTTATAACCCTACAACCTGGGGTCCATAACCAGGCTAATAAAGCACAGAAAGATTACTAAACAAGAGGCCTCCATAGGACTCAAATCTTGGTGCAGAAGAAGCAGACAATAAATACCAATGCACATATCACATATCAAGTGGTCTTATAAAAAGGGCAAAAATGGAGTGACAGGTGGTATGTATTGCTAGAAAATCCTGAACAGGACAAGCTCCTTGGAGATGATAATAAAGACCTCAAGGAAATGAGAAGGCAAGTCCTGCCTGCCCAGGGAAAGGGCTCACAGGAACTAGAAAGTTAGCAGGATGGAGCAAGTGGTCACAATAGCAATAGAATAATCACAGAAAGAAATTGGACAAAATAATGAGCAGTGAAGTAGTGAGAACTGATTTTTAAAGGATCATCTCAGACACTGGTGTTTGGCTACCAAAGGTAGAAGCAGGGAAACTAGTGAAAAGACAACTGAAGTGGTCCAGGCAGGACCACTTCAAGCCCAGTGGCTTGAGCAGGGTAGCAACTGCAAACAAGACAGTAAGGACTGCAAACAGGATGAGAAAGGCTCATTCTGGGTATATTCTGAAGTTACAGTCATGGATATGTATGATAGGGCCTTGGAGTACAAATCACAAAGCAGAGGCCTCAGGCCTCAGGCAGGGGCACTCCAAGGTTTGGGCTCAGAAGACAAAGAGGGTTTTACTAGAGACTGGGAAGGAGTAGCCAGTGATGTGAGAGCATAATATTAAATGAGCTGGAAACCAAGCAAAACCAAGTGCCATGACTGAAGCTGCCAGCAGGCACTTGGATCAAAGTTGAGCAGGTCCATACAACTAGGTAAGGGGAGGTCATGATGAGCTGACAAGAGCAGTTTCAATGAAGCAAAGACAGTAAGAATTCACTAAAGTAGGTTACAGACAGTAATGCTGCACAGGTGGAAGAGAAATGAAGCAGAATATATGAAGCTCAGGGAGGGTTTTGCTTTTAAAGACAGAAAAAGCAACGAGCTGAGAGAATGGCCACCAGGGAGTAAAACTCATGTTGTAGGAGCTTCCTGCAAATGGTTCCAAACCAATTATTATGGGAGTAGGTCAAGCCATGAATTAAGAAGAAAGCCATGGAGTGAGGCTAGGCAGTGTGGTCCAATGTTCTCAGGCAAATTTTCCTCTGAGATGTAAGTCCCAAAGTAGATAAAAAGCTGATTTATCAAGAGTGAGTGAGAAGCATTATTCCAGACTACTTGGTGATCTTCTTGGCAAATACCAGAGGCCACACCAGGGTGAAAAACAACTGAGGTTGACCTAGTAGATAAAGGAAATAGAGGATGAGAGATGAAAAATATATAATCTAAAACTGAGACTATGAAAAAACACAAGAATCAGCAGTTGAGATGAGGTGAAGGTTGAGGGCACGAAAGGTGGGGAAGGGAGCTCAGGATCAGCCACATAGACCCATAAAGTGCTAAGGACAAAGACAGTGAAGGAAGGCTGAGCAGGGAAACTGGAAGTCCATGGATGATTTCTATGTCTTAAAGCGGTCTTGTCTGAAGGCTTTAGCTTCTAGAAATCAGAAGCTCTTTGTGAAGAACAGTGGTCTGAAAAGAAGGAAGAGGGTAAAGACAAAAGGTTCTCATACTTTTGTGCCCAGTGAGTAAAGGCAGGCTTTATTTGAAAACCTTGCTGATATGGTATTTAATTAAACATTTTTAAATGTACTGTCTAAAAAACAAAAATGGTTTCAACTTCAAGAATTCAAAACCTTTAAGGTAATATAAAATATAAAAACCTAAAGAGGGATAAAAATGAGGGAGGGAGTAACAAGTGAAACAAGAAATGTACTCACTACCTTACTTATCTAACTATCTATCACCCCTCTGTGCATTACCTTGACAATAAAATTAAAACTTTAAAAATCTATTAGGCATTTGCATTATGACATTAAGAAATTTCAAGTTTCGTAAAAGTCATTATGCAGACCTACTGAATCACTAAACTGGAGGAGACCTGGTTATCTTTCCAATGTACTAATACTTACTTCACAATGCCATAGCCCAAGCTCACAATGATCACAAGGAGACGAGCCAATGTCCTTTTAACCGCAGATATCAACTCCGCAAATATCAATAAACCTTGGGCTGAGGAGAAGAAAAATAATATAATTTTCTGTATATACATATGGAGATCTTCCAACCAATGCAAATTACGTGTAACTAGATTCTAAACTCACACTATTGGCTACTATGTTAGATTTAAAAGCCACTTAATCCAATTGATGTAAAGAGAAAGTCACACTCCTTGAAGAATTTACTCCACATCTGACCAGCTCTACCGGGGAAAGCTTTCTCCTAACAACGTTTTTATTCTTCGCCTTCATGATAAACAGAACTGCATCCCTCTTCTTGCTGTTCATTTGAAAGCCCTAATGTCCTTTGCAGTTCTCCTTTCTCCAGGAAGCCTTTGATACCTATTCATCTAAAATGCTCACATTAGTGTTAAGAAGCTTACCTAGCTTGTGTGATATAACAAACGTATTTGTTATGTTCCTACTGTGTAGATATAAAAGTAAAAGAGACACTTTGATCCCACTCTGTATGGACCTTGTACTCTGGTTAGGCCAAGTAAGAATTCAGTATGGTTAAGAGATGGGTAAAGTAATCTCAAGACTAGGGGGAAGAGGTGAAAGATGGTCTTGAAAAACTTACTGAAAGTGACACCTAAGTCAGGACTGAAGGCCAAATTGAAGCTAAATATTTGGGGAAAGGAAAGAGCAAAGCAAATGCAATGGTCCATGCAAAAACATGGAGAAAAGAGGAAAAGCATATATGTTGTAATATGTAGTTTGTTATATCTGCCGTAAAGAGCAATGTCAGATGTCAAGACAAGAACATGGTCAACAGGGTGGGATTATTCATGTGGGACTTGGGGTCTGTTATGATGTTAACAGTAATGGGAAGACAGTAATACTAAACCGAAGAATAAAGGGGGGATTAGTACTACAGCCCAGGGACTAATTCTGGCCCTGTATCTACTTTATAAATGAAGTTTTATTGCCTATTTGTTTACCAGTTGTTTGTGGCTGCTTTTATGCTACAACAGCAGTGCTGAGTAGTTAAATACAATGGATACTATATGGTCTTCAAAGCCAAGAATATTTATTACATGACCTTTATAGAAAAAGGTTGCTAGTTGCTGGAATAAAATAGATGACTTTATTAAGATGGTCCTACCTAAAATGGCTTAGAGAAAATAAGACTAAGAGTGGGGGAAATGCTTAGGAGGGTATTTCAGAAACCCAGGTCAGACAATCAGAGTAGTGATGGAGAGAAACAGGCAATAGATACTGGATCAAACCAGCTGTGGCTAAAGTCCTGTCTTCTCCATGGCATGTACATGCTACATGCTCTCTTTCTCTGTTACAAGTTCCTCTTCTAACAAATTTCCCTATTATCTTTACTTAAAAAAAAAAGCTGCCAATTTACCTATTGCTTTCATTTCATATGGCTTTCAACTCTTGTCTGCAAGAAACCCTAAGTCTCTGACAAATGACTAAGGGGAAGGAAAGAAGGTAGCAAGAAAGTTTAGTGGCAATGCTACCCTATAAAAGGAATATCTGAGAGAGCAGAAGGTCTGGGGTACATCACGCAGTCAAGCAACAGGGAAGAAAGAATGAGTTCTTTCTGTCTCTCATGGAGGTTGAGAAGTTGGAAAGCAGTTAGAAAATGGAGGTGATGGGGCTGGGAAAGTGGCTCAGTGGTAGAATGCTTGCCTTGCATGCATGGGGCCCTGGGTTTGATTCCTCAGCACCACGTAAACAGAAAAAGCTGGAAGTTGTGCTGTGGCTCAAGTGGTAGAGCACTAGTCTGAGCTGAAGAGCTGAGGGACAGTGCCCAGGCCCAGAGTTCAGGCCCCACGACCAACTAAAAAATAAAAAACTAAGTAGAAAATGTAGGTGATTATAGATGTATGGACTCAAAAGAGTCATCTTGATAGGATGTAAGAGTTTAGGAGGAAATCACTGGGTGAGTTCTGCCAAGGAGTGCAGAATGTAAAATGAAGAAGGGGTTTAAGATCACACAAGTTGAGAATTTTTTTTTTTCCAGTCGTGGGGTTTGAACTCTGGGCCAGGGTGCTGTCCTTCAGCTCTTCAGCTCAAGGCTAACGCTCTACCTCTCGAGCGACATGCCACTTCAGGTTTTCTGGTGGTATTTTTGGAGATAAGAGTCTCACGGACTTTCCTGCCGAGAGTAGCTATGAACCGTGATCCTCAGATCTCTGCCTCCTGAGTAGTTAGGATTACAGGCGTGAGCCACCAGCACCCGGCAGAAATGGCCATATTTTAAAATCCCTGAGCTTCTGGGTCTTGGATGTATATACCTCTGCTGAAGTAACATGAATGTAATCTTTCTGGTATAGCCTAACCCACAAAGCAGGATTCCCAATTTCTGCTCAGTGACTGCTCCTTCAGTAATCTAAGATTTCAGGAGCCACTGGAGGTGAATATCCTATTATCATCTATCTTGAGTTTGTCTGCCATCAAATCCTTTCTCAAACTTTCCCATCAATATTCCTACAATTTGCATTTCAACCCAAGTTCAAGATCATGCCCCCTAAATTTCACCTTTCCACTTAGGATAGATATCAAATCTCTCTGTATCCCACTATGTAGCTTCAGGTTAGAAAATTCTATTTTTAAAAATGATTCTTTTCTAGGCCCTTATTATCTGTAACTCCTGATAGTTTCACAACATCTAAAACACTGAGGAGAAGCTCTCCATATATATAGGTACATATTAAGTGTAAGCTGAAAAAACCAGCAGGCTCACAAGGATAAAATGGCAACAGGGGCTAAAATCTGTAATAAAAACCCCATAAATGCCTCCTACCCCAATAGTTCTCAACTTTAGATGCACATTAGGATTACTTGGGAAGCTTCTAATCTGGCCTAATTGCTAGGGATACCCCCTCTGTCTGAATCACTGACAAGAATCACGTGTTAAACTTTTTTTTGTTTTTGTTTTTTTGGTTACTGGTCTGTCTCTAAGCTAATGCTCTACCACTTGAATCACAGCTTCACTACTGGCTTTTTTTTTTTTTTTTAAAAATAACTGGAGATAAGAGTCTCATGGTCTTTCCTGCCTGGGCTGGCTTTAAACCTTGATCCTCTGTTATGGCCTCCTAGAATTTACAGGTGTGAGCCACCTGGCACGTGTTAAAATTCTTCAAGGAATGCCAATATGCATGCATCTAGGGACAAAGAACCACTGCTTCAAACCAGTGCTACCCAAAAGAACTTTCTATAATTATAGATGGACATATTCAGCATGTGTGCCATCTTATATAGTAACCTGTGGCCACTTGTGCTTTTTCAGACTCCTAAACAACAGCTAGCATAACTTAGGGAATGAATTATTAAATAATTTATTTGAAAATTTTAATAGTAGGTGGCTCGTGGTACCAGAATGGACTGCACAGGTCTAAACTGTTAGGACTGATGAGTGGCTAGCTAACTGCATGAACTCTTTACATATGGATACATTTTAAAAATTGGTTGCAGAACTAGTTACTCAGCCAGATTTCAGCTTCTGGTACTCTGTTGTGCCCATCCTGTCAAATATCAAAGAAATATAGCTATCCTACTTTTGCTGTATTTTCTTAACTGCAAATCTAGCAATAAGAGGAATTAGTCTAACACAGCCTACTATGAATGGATGTGCTTCTGGTCCTTCTAATGTTTTTTGTTTGTTTTTTGGTCGGTCATGGGGCTTGAACTCTAGGCTTGGGCGCTGTCCCTGTGCTCTTCAGCTCAAGGCGAGCGCTCTACCACTTGAGCTACAGCACCACTTCTGGTTTTCTAGTGGTTTATTAGAGATAAGAGTCTCACGGACTTTCCTGCCCGGGCTGGCTTTGAAGCATGATCCTCAGATCTCAGCCTCCTGAATAGCTAGGATTACAGGCGTGAGCCACCGGCGCCCAGCTCTGATGGTTTTTCTAACTTCTAGCCTTCCAGGATCAATACTGAGCCAAGGCAGTTCATTTTACAGAATTCCTTCTTGGGAAGATCAAAAAGGTATCAGCCAACTTTTGTGCAACTTTTACAGGACAGGATTTTTCAAAGCCACGGGATTTCACTTCCAAACCTCTGATGCCATCTCAGATGGAGAACATAGATTCCCTGAGGATGGAGTCTTTTCCTGGATCTCAGGCTTGCTGCTCTCACCTCTGCACTCTCTAGAGATCATCATAGCTCACAGAAATGAGCTTGCCTTCACTGACATTCAACCATGCTTCAGCCTAATCAGCAGACCCAACCTCTCCATCATTACCTGATTTAGAGCTAATGTGAACACACACCTGATAAAACTTACGTGGTAGTAATACCTCTAGCATGCAACCTTTGGCCCTTTCTTTACCCCCTTCGTATGTCTCTGTGGATGTGTCTCTGTGTGTACGGGGACTTAAACTCAGGGCCTTGCACTCTCATTTGGCTTTTGATTCAATGCTGGTATTCTACCACTTGAGCCCTCCTTCATTTCCTTCTTTATCCTTCTGTACATCCCCTTTTAATCTTTTTATTTGGGAAAATCTTCAACACAAACCAGTATAATAAATTCCCATGAACTTCAATTATCCACATGACCACAAATTAGTTTTATTTATATTCAAATTCACTTTTTCTTTCTAGTATGTCTAAAAATAAAATAAGGGACATAATTCTATCTATACCAAGATCATTTGCAACTGACCACTCAAGTATATTCTGAAGCATTTTCAAGCCTTTAAACTTATCTCCCTTTCAGTGGTAGAAATGAACCTTTACTTCGCTGGCCTTTTTGCAATCTAATTTCTAGCAGCAGTCTGGGGCACACATGTGTAGTCCTCCCTGTGTGAACAGTGGTGATGCATCCCCTGGATATATAAAGTTCTTATAGGACTGAAAGGAGGGTCAACAGCACATGGAGACTATAGGAATGGTCCACCTGGGTAGTACCACTGAATTTTACGCACTGGAGCCAAATTATCTTCCTTTTCTTTTTCAGCAAAAAAGGGAAAATAAGATTGAAAAAAGAAAAGGAGAGCTGTTCAAGGGACTGACCTTACTGGAAATATCCCTACCCAGAACCTTGTGTTATTTTTGAACCTTAGAGAATGGGAATTTTATTTTTCTAGGAAGAAAAATGAAGGGTACATTATAAGAAGGAAAACAGAAAATGAAGAGAACATATGCTAGTCCCAATGGGTCCTATTCTGACACTCTCTTCTTGGACTATTATTACATTTTTGAGACAAAACTTACTTGACAATCCAGTGCTGTTGATGTTTTGGTATTCCGTATAAAAAATTGCTTTTTCAAGCATTCCTAGGAAAATCACAGCTGCAATCCAAAATTGTATTCTTAATATATCTTTCCAGTAACAGGCAGACCATGTCAGCCAGAGCACACCATATAATATATAAACAATACACATCACCATATAAAACTGCAGGAAGAGAAGAAATTCTAGTCAATTAAATCTTCTGATCATTTGAAAGTTGGCATTTCTACATTTAAGTATCCAATTCCAGTCACTCTAGAACCAGATATAGAGGGTATATCAAAGCATTAGATATTGAGGGATTAGTACTACCCAGCAAATGATTTACCTCTTCCCTCTTGGCCCAATCTTTTTATGTATCTAAAGATGGAATATTAGGGACTGGGAAGGTGGCTCAGTGGTAGAGTGCTTGCCTTGCATGCCTGAGGCCGTGGGTTCGATTCCTCAGCACCATATAAGCAAAAAGAAAAAAGCTGGAAGTGGTGCTGTGGCTCAAGTGGTAGAGCGCTAGCCTTGAGCTGAAGAGCTGAGGGACAGCGCCTAGGCCCAAAGTTCAGGCCCCACAACTGGACCCAAAAAAGATGGAATATTAAGGGTTGACCCTCCTCCCACCTTATTATTCCAAGTCAGGCAAAACCCCAGGTATGCATGGACATGCTTGATGTACAGGCAGGGCAATCTGACCTAAGTCTGGCCATCAACATTCCATTGTGAGCCTAACTGAAAGTCCCCACCTCCCTAGCCACAATAGCCTTTTCAATAACTTCTGTTTCCTTGATTAGACCCCATAAAAGCCTAACTCCAACCCCACCTCCATTCCCAGGAAGGTTGCCACGCGTTGCCGCTATACCTCAATAAACAGAGCTAGCCTGTTGAGACTGAGACTGGCCTGTTTCTTTCTCCTCCATTTTTCTAACACCTAGCTCTTCAGAAGCTTTAAATTTCCTATTTAGTACACAAAGTTCATTACTTTAAAAAGGGGAAAAATACAAATAATACTCACAATCATTAGAGGCCAATCTGATGCAGAGATATATCCATGAGGCCCCATCATAGAAAGAGAAACTAGTGACAGCAACAGAAAGGGACAGAAAAGGAACAATGAGCTAATTAATAATTAATCCTTCTTAAGTCTTTAAGTATAAGCTTATTTTCCAGAAAGCTCCGCAGAGACAAACTGTGCTATTAAATATTGAATTTTTACCTGTGCACATATAATCTTACCAAGATACCTTCACTTTTACATACGTCACTATGAAAAACAGTGTCAAATACAAGCCAGGCACCAGTGGCTTATGCCTGTAATCCTAGCTACTCAGGAGGTTGAGATCTGAGGATTGTAGTCCAAAGCCAGCCTGGGTAGGAAAGTCTGTGAGACTCTTATCTCCAATTAACCACTCAGAAAACCGGAAGTGGCGCTGTGGCTCAAGTGGTAGAGCAGGCCTTGAGCTGAAGAGACCAGGGACAGTGCCTAGGCCCAGAGGTCAAGCCCTGTAACCAACAAAAAAACAAACAAAAAAAACCCAAAAAACAAAAGTGTCAAATACAAATGCAAAGTACTGCTGATTACCAGGCTAGACCTCGGAATGGTCACCTAGCTGATGGTCACTGATGTCTCGGAGGGCCTTATTTTTGTCAATGACACTTGGGACAGGGCACACAACACATATATCTGGTTTCAGTTTTGTCTCAGAAGACAAATCCAATGCAAGACAAGCAAGCCTTGTAAATAATAGCTCCTTACTAATTAGTGGGAACCTAAAATTGCCTATCAGTGGAAAAGACACAAAACCTGAGAATGAAAAGGGTGCATGCAAGTCAGTGCTATGGTCTAGATGCTACCAAAATTCGTATGTTAAAACGTAATACCAAAGCTGGGTGATGGTGAATCATAGGCATCAGGCTATAATCAAGCAGCTTCTCACAAAGTTAAGATCTGAAGATCGCAGTTCAAAGCCAGCCCTGGCAGGAAAGTCTGTAAGACTTTTATCTCCAATTAAACACCAAAAAAAAAAAAAAAAAAAAAGGCTCAGGGACAATATCCAGGCCCTGAGTTCAAGCCCCAGGACTAACATAAAAAAAATTTTTTTTAAAGAAGTTAATCCCACTGGGCAGCAGTGGCTCACATCTGTAATCCAAGCTTCTAGGGAGGTTGAGATCTTAAGATAGCAGTTTAAAGCCAGCTTGGGCAGGAAAGTCCATGAGACTCATCTCCAATTAACTACCAAAAAGCCATAGGTAGACCTCTGATTCAAGTGGTAAAGTACTAGCCTTGAGGACAAAAGCTCAGGGAAAGTGCCCAAGGCCCTGAGTTCAAACCCCAGGACTGGCACAAAAAAATTAAAAAACAAACAAAAAACCTTAATCCCCACAGTGGTGTACTGACAAGTAAGGCTTCAGGCTAGAGATGTAGCTAGCAGAGCACTGTCTAATATACAAGAAGCCCTAAGTTTGATCCTCAGCACCACAAAAAAGAAGTAGGGCCTTTTGAGGAACTCCTCATGAATGTATTAATGCCTCATTAGAGGGTTAGACGCCACCATTAGGACCCAGCACTTTTCCTCTTTTGCTTTTCCATCCTTTCTGCAATGTAAGGACAGAGTTCAGGGCATCATTCTGGAAACAGACATAGCACCCCTAAGATGCAGGCAACCTACCAAAACTGTGAGAAAATACATTTGAATTCTTCATTACATAGTATTATACAGTCTGTTATGGCAGCACACAACAGTCTAAGACAATTAGGTAACAAACAGGATGATGGCAAGGCCCCTGACAAAGACCTACTTCACACTTCCAGAGCAGCCAACATCAGCAGCTTCCCTTTGTGAGACCTGCAGTACACTTGCTCCAAGCCTCCTCTGTAGTAAAGCCTGTTTACCACAAGAATTTCTGTCCCTAAATCCCCCTAGTGGCCTAAGCACTTCCTCAAAGGCAAAGCATCATTTTCCCTTCCATGACCACAGTGGCTGAATCAGAGCAGTAAGGCACATAGCTAAGATGGTCACAGACTATTTATAGCTACTGTTGGCCCAGTGGAAAGCCATCTGAAAAACATCAGCCAAATTCTGGAATCTGTGAAAGCATTCATCTCTTTGAAAAGTGCTTATTGAGCCTACTGTTGTAGATATTATGGAACTAAGGCTTAATGAGGCACATTGATGAAGAGCTACACACACCGGAAGCCACAGCTGAGAGACATGCTACTTGACTAAGCTACAGACAGATAATTTCAAATCTTTAAATCTCCTGATGGCCATTTTCAACAGAGAAGATAATTCACTTCAAATACAAGTAAGATGTGGCCTACACATTTCTACATATTAGCAAAATAAGAAATTTTATGTTCCACTGCAAAATCTGAAATTGAAAATTTAATCACAAAGTTTTTTTCTCAATTGAAGAAATAAATTTTTCAAAATTTTCTCCACTTAACAATAACATTTCCAATCCATTAATGATAGTGCTGGTGGCTTATGCCTGTTTTCCTAACTACTTAGGAGGCTGAGATCTAAGGATCATGGTTTGAAGCCAGTCCAGACAGGAAAGTCTGTGAGCTATTTTTTTTTTGCTGGTTCTGGTGCTTGATCTTAGGGCCTAAGCACTGTCTCTTATGCTCAAGGCTAGTGCTCTACCACTTTGAGAAACAATGCCATCTCCAGCTTTTTGGTAGTTAATTGGATAAGTCTCATAGACGTTCCTGCTTGGGATGGCTTTGAACTGTGATCCTAAGATCCTTCTAAGTAGCTAGGATTACAGGTATGAGCCACCGATGCCTGGCTGTGAGTCTCTTTTTTCTTTTTCTTTCCTTTTCTTTTTGTGAGGCTCTTATCTCCACTAAACTGCCAAAAAAAACCTGGAAGTGGAGCTGTGGCTTAAATGTAGAACACTGTCCTTGAGCAAAACACCCAGGCCCTGAGCTCAAGCCCTAGGATTGATGAAAAAAAGAAAGAAATATGAGTATTTAGGTAAGCATAAAGCTTTAAGTCCTCAAAATAAATTTACAACATAAATCAATGTTTAAAGACATGCTTCTAACAAACAATAAAAAATTCAGATAAAGGACAAAAAGCACAGAACACAGAAAATGCAGACCATCGGCAATATGCATGTAGGTTAGCCATACCATTCAGATTCCAGCTGGCAGTTGTTTGGTCCGTTTTAATAGAAACAATAAAGATATGAAAGCCATCCCTCTGTGTCTTGGCTACAACATCCTGAAATGATGGGGAAAATCCTGTTATTTTAAATAAATTGCTATATAAGATCTAGTCACAACTGCTCACTTCATTTTTTGGGGGGCAGTACTGAGGTGTGAACTCAGTCTTGTGCTTTATAGGCAAGCATTCTACTATTTAAGCCACACTTCCAGCTTTGTTCACATTTTAGAGCAATTTTTGGTAACTGAATTGGGTTACTCTTTTTTTTTTGTATATGTGTGTGTGTCAGTCCTGGGGCTTGATCTCCAGGTCTGTCCCTGTCCTGTCTGGCACTGTCCCTAAGCTTCTTTTGCTCAAGGCCAGGGCTCTACCATTTGAGCCGCAGCTCCAATTCTGGAGTGTCACAGACTTTCCTGCCCAGGCTGGCTTTGAACCATGATCCTCAGATCTCAGTCTTTTGAGTAGCTAGGATTACAGAGTGAGCCACATTTGGGTTACTTATAAAAAAAAATACAAATAGAAAAAACAGACTAAAGAATGCTAGGCAGTGGAAGGATAGATACTGCTTTCATTTTTTTCTTATCATCCTACCCAATTCAAAGGGACAGAAGAAAAAGGTTCTCATGTTCAGTGTTCCTCACCTCTTACATATCTACAGGTTCCCCCTATATTACTACTGTATGTTTTACTATTATCACTATTCATATATTTTATCCTAATGATTTGAAACATTCGGTTTTATTTAAATGTTTTACAATAATTGAGTTGAGGGCTGGGAGCTGATGGCACATCCCTATAATCCTAGCTATTCAGGAGGCTAAGATCTATGATCAAAGCCAGCCTGGGCAGGAAAGTCCATGAGACCCTTATTTCTAATTAACCACAAAGAGCTAGAAGTGGAACTATAGCTCAAGTGGTAGAAAAAAAACCCCTCAGGTATAGCGCTTACTCCCTGAATTCAAGCCCCAGTACTGGCTAAAAAAGGGGGGAAAACAGCTGAGGAAGGAGGAAATTTGATAACATTGTCAGAAATGAGTGAGACTGGGAATAGTTACTTAGGAGGCTAGGCAGGAGGATCTCAAGTTGAAGGCTAGGCTGGGCAACATAGCAAGACCCTATCTAATAATAACAATAACAACAACAACAACAAAAGGAAAAAGAAAAAGGAAAGAGAGAAATGAGTCTAAGTACATCCATACTACAGGATCAGTGAGGAACTTAGTTCCAGGCCAAACACACCTCATCAAATAGGTATGAAAAAAATCAATGGATGCTTAAGTCCCTTATGGCAGAGTATTTGCTTATCCAGAGTTGCTTACAACATCTCTGATTACTTTTAACTTAATATAAATGATGTGTAAGAGTTGGTATACTGTATTGTTTAGGTAGCAGTGACAAGAAAAATGAGTATACATGGTTCAATACAGAATCTGTTTCCCTACTACTCTGATCTACAGTTGGTTGTAGCCATGTAAGCAAAATCCATGGATGTAGAACTTGCTGGTGCTGAAGGCCAACTATATATAGGCTAAATCATTTAAATATTTTTTTAGTGTGAGACCAAGACTCAAACTCCATACCTGACACTTTGGTTTACTGGCTAGTGCTCTACCAACCAAGCCACTCCTACAACCCTCAAATTTCCTTTTTTTTTTTTTTGCCAGTCCTGGTGCTTGAACTCAGGGCCTAGGCACTGTCCCTGAGCCTCTCTGTGCTCAAGGCTAGAGCTCTACAACTTGAGGCACAGTGCCACTTCCAGCTTTTTCTGAGTAGTTTTGTGGAGGTAAGAGTCTCAAGGGGCTGGGAAAGTGGCTCAGTGGTAGAGCGCTTGCCATGCATGCCTGAGGCCCTGGGTTCAATTCCTTAGCACCACATAAGCAAAAAGAAAAAAAAAAGCCGGAAGTGGCGCTGTGGCTCAAGTGGTAGAGCGCTAGCCTTGAGCTGAAGAGCTGAGGGACAGCGTCCAGGCCCAGAGTTTAGGCCCCACGACTGGACACCCCCCCCCCCAAAAAAAAAAGAGTCTCAAGGACTTTCCTGCTGCAGCTAACTTTAAACTGCAACCCTCAGAACTCAGCCTCCTGTGTAGCTAGGATTATAGGCATGAGCCACCAGCTCCCAGATCCTCAAATTTCTTAAGGTATTATATTTCTAGCAGTCCCATAGGGGAATAAAACTGTCCCATTATGTTAATGAATCTTCCCAAGGCCAGCCCAAACTAGGCACATCCCACCTTCTCATTTTCTATCCCCTCTTTCTTTCCTCCTACTCCATGTGACACAGTTTGTCCTGGCCATTGAAGAGTGGATTCCTCCCCATCATCAGTCTTCTCTTTAGGCTCCCTAAAGAGGAGATAGAAAACCACATACAAAAGCAAACATCAAGCTAGGAGCCAGTGGCTTATAATCCTAGATATGAGGATCACAATTTGAAGCCAGCCTGGGCAGGAAAGTCTATGAGACTCTTATTTCCAATTAACTACCAAAAGACTGGGAGTGGTGCTGTGGCTCAAAGTGGTAGAGCACTAGCCTTGAGAGAAAAAGCTCAGAAACAACACTCAGGCTGAGTTCAAGCCCCAAGACCAAAATACACATAATACCTTCTAACCCTTCTGAGATCATACCTCAATCTTCTGACTTTCAGTAATCTCTCAAAATAGCACAAATTCCCTCTTCCATTATGTTACATTCACTGTCTCTATCCTTACATCCTTAACGATAACAGTAGTCTATTAGAATGCTTCCTTGCACACCAAGAACTAGAATTTTTTTTTCAAGGAAAGAAAGGCTGCAATCATGCTATTCATTACACTATGTGGAAAAGAAGGATGTAGCTTGTGGACAGAAACGGGAGGGGGAAACTCGGAGAAAGCAAAGGAAGGAGTGACATTGTCCAGGAAAAGAAATGTACTCATTACCTGACTTATGAAATGGTAACTCCTCTGTAGAATACTTTAGTAACAATAAAATTATATTTTTTAAAAAACAAAGGCTGGAGCCGGGTGCTGGTGGCTCACACCTGTAATCCTAGCTACTCAGGAGGCTGAGATCTGAGGAGCATGGTTCAAAGCCAGTTGGGGCAGGAACGTTCTTGAGACTCTTATCTCCAATTAACCAGCAGAAAACCGGAAGTGGTGCTATGGATCAAGTGGTAGAGTGCTCACCTTGAGCTGAAGAGCTCAGGGACAGCACTCAGGCCCAGAGTTCAAACCCCATGACTGACAAAAAAACAAAAACAAAAAAACAAAGGCTGCTCAGAAATTCATCTTATATTTTTTAAAAAGTTTTAAACAAAAACAAGTAAGTAGAATTTATAGACGCCTATAAGAAAGCATACTATTTAAAATAGGACGCTTCATAATTATGATTCTCTAAATATCTGTGCGCCAACTTTTTAAATCATACAAAAATTGTGAACATTTAATTTAAATACAAATAAAATAGCTTACCAGTGATCCTTCCTGGTTTGAAATATTTCTCACACTCATTAGTTCTTTATTCTGGAAAAAAAATTATATTGCTCATTTCAATGAGGGAAAAGTTCTAATACGAATACATTTAAAAAATGAAGATTTGAAAGTTAAAGATCAGAATACAACTGTCCTTGTACTCTAATTATGAGTAAGATAATTCTGCCATATAAATTACTTCCTGGCCAGGTGCTGGTAGTTCATGTCGGTAATCCTAGCTACTCAGAAGGCTGAGATCTGAGGATCATGGTTCAAAGCCAGCCCAGGCAGGAAAGTCTGTGAGAGACTCATCTCCAATGAACTTCTCAGAAAAGGCTGGCGTGGTGCTGTGGCTCAAGTGGTAGAGCACTAGCTTTGAGCATGAAGAAACAAGGACAGTGCCCAGTCCCTGAGTTCAAGCCCCAGGACTGGCAACAACAAAAACAAAAAACAAAAACATAAAAAACCCCAAATTACTTCCTATCAGTGTGATTACTATTAGAAATATTACTGACTCTAAGGTATGTATTCAAATGTTTTTTTTTTCTTTCATGCAATTGTTTCTAACACATTTATAAGATTATTTCTTTGTTGCTTTGTATGTCCCTCCCCTACGGTATAACCCCTGCTTTCACTGTATGTGATGGTATAATTTGTAGAGGGGAAGGGGAAAAACAAATCATTTAAATAGGGATACAGGTGGACCCATTGCAACAATGAGATGTACTTGTCATTATGTTGAAAATGAACTTTACAACTTTGGTGCGGGAGGGGGGGTGTGTGGGGGAAGGATGGGAAGGGGAAACAAAGGAGGAGGCTACAATGCTTGATAAGAAATGTACTCATGGGGCTGGGAAGGTGGCTCAGTGGTAGAGCGCTTGCCTTGCATGCCTGAGGCCCTGGGTTCAATTCTTCAGCACCACATAAGCAAAAAGAAAAAAAAAAAGCCGGAAGTGGCGCTGTGGCTCAAGTGGTAAAGCGCTAGCCTTGAGCTGAAGAGCTGAGGGACAGCGCCCAGGCCCAGAGTTCAGGCCCCACGACCGGACCCCCCCCCAAAAAAAAAAAAAAAAAAAAAGAAATGTACTCATTATCTTGCCCATGTAATTGTAACCCCCTCTGTACAGTATTTTCACAATAAAAAGAAAAAATAAAATAAAATAAAAAGAAATATTACTATTAGGCTGAAAGTGTTAGGAAATCAAAAGGGGATCTAGTTGTTAAAATGTTTTATACTTAATCTGGGTTAATAAAGGTATCCTCAGTTACTGAAAACTCAACAAGGTGTATTCTTACGTGTAGTTTCCTGCATATTTATTACACTTTTATACAAATCATTTTGGAAGCCAGGAACCTGTAATCTTAGGTACAATGGAGGGTAAGATCTGAGGATTGTGGTTCAAAGCCAGCCCAGATTTTCCTATAGGAAAGTCTGTGAGACTCTTATCACCAATTAACCACCAAAATGCCAGAAACAGAGCCAAGGTTCAAATAGTAGAGTGCTAACCTTGAGTTCAACAGCTCAAGGACAACAGTCACACAGAGTGCAAGCCCAGGACTAGCAAAAAAAAAAAAAAAAAGAAATCATTTGGAATGTCCAGAACAAATGTAAGTTAAAGACCATAACTTCCCTACAGGGCTGATTGCTTATAACATTTATAACCTAACATGCTTCAGAGGAGGAAGGCATAAAGAAGGAGGGAATGTAGCCAGGCGCTGGTGGCTCATGCCTGTAATCCTAGCTACTCAGGAGGCTGAGATCTGGTGATCACGGTTCAAACCAGCCCGGTCAGGAAAAGTCTGTGAGACTCTTATCTAACTACTCAGAAAACTGGAAGTGACATTGTGGCTCAAGTAGAGCACTAGCCTTGAGCTGAAGAGGTGAGGGACAGTACCGAGGCCCAGAGTTCAAGCTCCACCACCAACCAAAAAAAAAAGGAGGGAATGTTCTGTTACTGCTGCTGAGAAATTAGGACCTTTAGTAAAAGGAACAGATCAGTGACCTTGACTATGGCTGAAGCAATAGGATGATAAGGACTAAGGCCTGAGCAGAGTGGACATAAGAAAAAAATAAGAGCCAGGTGCTGGTGGCTCACACCTGTAATCCTAGCTACTCGGGAGGCTGAGATCTGAGGATCCCGGTTCAAAGCCAGCCCAGGCAAGAAAGTCCGTGAGACTCTTATCTCCAATAAACCACTAGAAAACCGCAAGTGGCGCTGTGGCTCAAACGGTAGAGCGCTCGCCTTGAGCTGAAGAGCACAGGAACAGCGCCCAGGCCCAGAGTTCAAGCCCCACAACTGACAAAAAAAAAAAGAAAAAAAAAGCAGATCATAAAGAATGTTTCAATAAAGAGATGAAAACAAGAGGAACAGGGCATAAATATTTTACTTACTATATACTTATTATATATAATATTTTACTTACTATACACATAAAAACTAAGTAATATTTTACTTACTATACACATAAAAACTAAAGCTAGGAGTTAATAGCTAGGTACCTTTCTTTATCAAAATAGGATAAAGCACTATTTAAGTTCATATTTGTATTTACTGTGAATACTTTTTTCCCCTGGTGGCTGTGGGAATTGAACCTAGGATCTCCTACTTGCTAGGTAGGTACTCTACCACTTGAGCCACATTCCTAGTCCTTTTGTTTTCATTTTGAGAGAGTGTCTATCTTTCTACAAGGGCTGACCTTCTGAGTTCAAGATCCTCCTGCCTTTGCTACTTGAGTATCTGGGATTATAAATATATGCCACTATGCCCATCAGGACTAAGCTCCATTCTAACAAGAGGAAGACAGATACTCACATGTAATGAGGGAAACACTTGCAAATCACTGTTGCAATCTAAGTTTTCATTTTTTGTTGTCCAACAGTCAATATTCTTGAAATAACTACACAAATCTTCATCAAAATGCAGTTCATGTTTTTGAGACATCTCCTGCCCAAGGTAAAATTATATGTTGTAATATATTTCCACATCTTTTTTCCCAGAAGATAAGTAAAACTTAGTATCTAATTAATACCAAGAGTTATTTCAGTTTGGAATACTTGAAAATATACAATAAAATACCAGAGAGGAAAAAATTTGAATATAATTAGCATTTGGGTGGCTGAAGCTGGAGGATCTCACGTTTAAGATCAGACTGGGATATAGTAAAACTGTATCTTAAAAAACAAGTAATGAGCCGGGCGCTGGTGGCTCACGCCTGTAATCCTAGCTACTCAGGAGGCTGAGATCTGAGGATCGTGGTTCAAAGCCAGCCCGGGCAGGAGAGACCGTGAGACTCCTATCTCCATTAAACCACCAGAAAATCGGAAGTGGCGCTGTAGCTCAAGTGGTAGAGTGCTCGCCTTGAGCTGAAGAGCTGAGGGACAGTGCCCAGGCCCAGAGTTCAAGCCCTACAGCCGACATTAAAAAAAAAAAAAAAACAAGTAATGGGCTGGGAAGGTGGCTCAGTGGTAGAGCACTTGCCTTGCATGCTTGAGGCCCTGGGTTCGATTCCTCAGCACCACATAAGCAGAAAAAAAAAAGCCAGAAGTGGCACTGTGGCTCAAGTGAGTGCTAGCCTTGAGCTGAAGAGCTGAGAGACAGTACCCAGGCCCAGAGTTCAGGCCCCATGACCGGAACCCCCAACCCCCCCCCCCCCCAAAAAAAAAAACAAGTAATAACAAAAATGTATGACCAACAAAGGACTCGTTCCCAGAAAAATAAAACAAACATCTTGTTCCACTTTATCCTATATTAGGGAGGTTTTACAAAACTAATGCAGCCAAGTAGCTAATCCATGAGAATAGGGAAAATGATTACACACCAACAATGTGAGGCTCCATATATCCCAGAATGAATCAAGTTCCTAATAGCAGCAACTAAGTTGGCTCTAACAGACCAAACAGAGGATAGACTGAATAAATGTAGCAATCTATTATAACATGTATTATAAAGGAAAAATTAATATCCATATTGGTGATTGACAGACAAGATTTTGAAAAGGGAAAGCTCATCCATGTAGTACAATATACCAATACGTGTTATATATATACACACACCCACACACACATATATATATATATACACACACACACACACAAAATGAGAAAATCATCATTTAGCAATCACTCCAGGAACAACTGATTTATCAAACAAGAATTATGAAAGGATGCTAAAACAAACGAATGCTTTGAGTGAAAAAAAAAAGAAAGAAAACAATTTCTTTAGGGGTTCAAAGGTCTTTTCCCAGCCAGGTGCTGGTAACTCATACCTGTAATTCTAGTCGCTCAGGGAAATGAAATCTGAGGACTGAGGTTTGAACCAGCCCAGGGAGGAAAGTCTGAGATTTTCTTATCTCCAATTAACCACCAAAAAGCAGAAAGTGGAGCTGTGCCTCAAGTGGTAGAGTGCTAGCCTTGTGCAAAAAAGCTCAGAGAGAGCAACCAGGCCTGAGTTCAAACCCCAGGCCCAGTACACAAAACACACTTGCAAACACAAACACACACACACACACACACACACACACACACACACACACACACACACACACACACACACACACACACACACACACACACACACACACACACACACACACACACACACACACACACACACACACCACAAATTTTAACAAAGAGAAAGCTAACTTTATAGTAAAAACTCAACTGATTGAATTAACACTGGCCAAAATGGGACAAAGTACTATTCTGCACAATTTCTCTAGAAGTGATTAATTTGAATCTGATTGTAAGAATACCTCAAAAATGCTCAAATTAAGAGACACTACGGAAATAAATGGTGTATATGCTCTGAAATTATCAACAACTAAAAACAAGACATTTAATGTGATTCTAGATTAAATCCTGTGCCAGACAACAAACTCTGCTTAAATGGTAAACTGATCAGATGTTAATAAAGTCTGCATATTGGATAATCATATTGTATTAGTGTTAAACTTCCTCAGTTTAGAACATGGCATTAAAGTATTTATTGTGAAGGAATAAAATACTTAGGGGGAGGAAAAAGCAACATTCAAAGAAAACAGCACCTACTTCAAAGGAAAAGATAATAGTAATAAAATATGGAAACTCATACATTATTCAGCATGGAAGCTGAAAATCATGAAACCATTCCAAGTACCATCATGAAATCATCAAAGAACATCTCTATTGAGTGACACAAGGAAGCCAGCATATTCCAGAAGGAAAGAGCCAGGCTTCTGAGCCACGGTGGGGAGACCTTTCTCAGCCCAGCTTTTTCCTCTTCTCTCATTCTCCTTCTGCCCATCCCATCTCTCTCTAGAACACACAAAATTTACTTGTCCTCACTAAAGTTTTAGATTCTTTTAACTAATTTACTGAATGAAAAAAATTTTAAATTCTTTCTTAAATTAGGTTGATTTTTATTTTTATATAATCCATAATCCTTTTACCAATGGCCCTAAAAAGGCTGATTTACACACTAATATTTTTTAAAGATAATTATAAGGAAGCTACAATGTCTCTAAATTAACCTAGAACACTTCTATTTCTTGCCTGTCTACCTACTACTCATCAGAATATTATGGTTTTATATTTCGAATTTTTCCTTTGTAGGGGTGTGTGTGTGTGTGTGTGTGTGTGTGTGTGTGTGTGTGTGTGTGTGTGTGTGTGTGTTGTGTGTGTGTGTGTGTGTGTGTGTGTGTGTGTGTGTGTGTGTGTGTGTGTGTGTGTGTGTGTGTGTGTGTGAGAAATAATGAAGATTTGCATTTTACTTACTTCCAGCTCAGGATATTCATTGTGACAGGTATGATATTTCAAATGCCACTCTATGGTAAACTTCACCGGCCCAGAACAACTGAATGACTTTACTGTTTAGAAAAAGGAAGTTTCATTTTACGTTAATATACATAGTTTAATACATACTGAAGGATTTAAGAACATATTTAAAATAGACTACTTTAATGTGACAATGACAGATAAAATCATTTAAATTATTAATCAAAAGTTGCTATATTCATTTTTAAGTCCAAGGTTGGAATCAACCAAGTAGCTTGATATGCAAATAACAGCTATGTCAGTCTAAATACTGTTCTTCCTCATTCGAAATGTACTCAATGAGCCCCCAGTTGTGAAGCAGAAAGTGACATAATAGTAAACATGAACAATTCCTGTCCATGACCTAAGAGGTATTGGGGAGGGTAGGGCTCCCTATAAGCACTTTCAATAGATTAAGGGGTTGAGATAGAGCATGAAGAGAGCACTGAGCAGGGCTCTTAATGTAGTCTAGGAGAATATGAAAGTCGTTAAAGGCAGGCTAGCTGGAGGAGGAAAAAGCAAGAGTCAGCCATGTAGAAAGATTACCCAGGCTGCCGGGCGCTGGTGGCTCACGCCTGTAATCCTAGCTACTCAGGAGGCTGAGATCTGAGGACCGCGGTTCAAAGCCAGCCCGGGCAGGAGAGACCGTGAGACTCCTATCTCCAATAAACCACCAGAAAACCGGAAGTGGCGCTGTAGCTCAAGTGGTAGAGCGCTCGCCTTGAGCTGAAGAGCTGAGGGACAGCACCCAGGCCCAGAGTTCAAGCCCCACGACCGACAAAAAAGAAAAAAAAAAAGATTACCCAGGCTAAGTGTGAGCATGGCATGAGTATGACCATCTGAAGATAACTCAATATGGTTACAACTTTGATTGGGGAAAAGAGAAGAGTTAACAGTTAAAAAGAATGCTAGAGAAATTCATGAATGGTCTTATGCTTTGCCAAGGAATTTGGCCTTTGTTTATCACAAAGTACCACCAAAGGTTTCAAGTTCTAGGTGATTTGATGACACAGACTGAAAGGGTTTTAATACTAGAGTTCAAATCTTGGTACTGGAGGGGGAAAAAGTAAAAAGAAAAAGGTTAAGTATAAAAGTTAGAAAAGTCTGTTAGAATATCCTTAAACATGGCAGCTGGCTTCCAATGAGCAAGTAATCAAGGATAGACCAAAGGAGGGACAGAACAACTTCTATAATCTATGGTCAGAAGGGATATAACACTACCTCTACCAGTTTGTTTGGTTTTTTTTGGGGGGGGGGGGGGGGTCCGGTCATGGGGCCTGAACTCTGGGTCTGGGCGCTGTCCCTCAGCTCTTCAGCTCAAGGCTAGCACTCTATCACTTGAGCCACAGCACCACTTCCGGCTTTTTTCTTTTTGTTTATATGGTGCTGAGGAATCGAACCCAGGGCCTCATGCATGCAAGGCAAGCGCTCTACCACTGAGCCATCTTCCCAGCCCCTACCTCTACCAGTTTATTGATAACTGAGACTAGCTCTAATAGCCATGAGTATCAGAAAGCAAGGATCATTCAGAATTATCTTAGAGGATAGTTACCTTACAGAGGGCACCCCAAACTGAGCCCATACATAGAAGTCTAAAAGGCTAAGACTGGTAGAATCTCTTGGATAACTACATAGAGGTGGAAGAACTGAGAAAGAGTAAGAGAAAGCTGCATGGATGGCAGTACCCTTGAAAATCTGGCTGAAAAGCAGTCTGCTTATGCATAGGAAGAAGTCCAGTAATTCTCTAGTAATTCTCATAGTTTCCAATAGTTTGAGTTTTCACTAGTCAGTGGAGGTCTCATTAAATACATTAAGCATTCAGGAAAGACATAGAAAGATCACAGTTAGCCCTGTATTAAAAGCTACTCTAGATAAAAGGATTGTCATAAGAAACTGTTCAAACAAGATTGTAAAAGAACTATATCATCTAGCAATATCAAGTGATCTAAAATATGTGGATATGGAGCCCCAGAAGAAAGAGATGAAGGTGGGAATAAAGTGCCTAAGTCCATGATAAGAATTAAGATTGAGATGTATTTTTTCCCCAGTGGTTTTTGCATCGACTGTTAACAATACTTTTGAGTTTGTTTCTGCACTTACTAGTCTGTTTCATTGTTCTACCTGTCTATTCCTATGTCAGAACCACAGTCACAATTCTGACCTGGGCCGGTTCACCCCTCCTTAGGCAACCTGGTGTTCCCCCGCTCCCGGGAGGTCACCATATTGATGCTGAACTTAGTGTGGACACCCGATCGGCATAGCGCACTGTAGCCCAGAACTCTTGGACTCAAGCGATCCTCCGGGCTCAGCCTTCCGAATAGCTGGGATTACAGGCGCACCACCACGCCCAGCCACAGTCACAATTCTACAGCTTATTTAAGTTCTAAAATCAGATAGTAAAAGCTCTTTGATCTTGTTTTTTTTTTTCAAAATTGTTTTAGGGTCTTTGTATTTTCATAAAGTATCAACATTGAGTCTACTTGACTGAATAGCCAAAGAATGTCTCATCTTCCAAAACAGCATGAACATGGACATATATTCAAGGGCAGTTTTTAGCTTTCAAGACACTTAAATCTGGTCCTGTGAAGACAGATTCCTTATTTCACCTGTTCCCCACAATACCAATGTAGATTTATAAACTACAATGCCCATTCACTAATAGTGAATAACTAGAAAGTAGATGTGTAATAATCAAATTAATTCTCCTTTCTGCATGCATTCCTGGAACCCAATGTGGTAAGAAGGCTGCTCAGTGAGCACAGCACCAGCACAAGTTGATGCTTCTTCCATACCTTCCAGCTACAGGTCATAAGCAGTTATGATTCAAGAAGACCTCTCTCCTGAGTGCTATTGGACATAGCCAGTTTTTGCCTCACTAAATCTCAACTATGTTATGCGTCTGCTCTTAAATCCTTTAAGAGTAGAGTATACTGCTCCACTTTTGCTCTGAGGCCTGATGCAATGATTTCATAACATCAAATTTTGTGTTTCAGTAGTCTGCATTGCTTTTGGTTTATCCCATATATCTGGTTGTCAGTCCTACGCAGAGATTCTTTTAAAGCTTTTAAGACATGAATTCATTAAAGCAAACACACACCAAAATTATTCCTTACCTACCCAAGACTTCAATTTCCTCTTAACATGACGACCTATGAAATCACAGAGCATTTCTAAAGTACCTCTGCCTTTTAGCTATTGGCTGTCATCTTCCTTTAGGAAAGACTCTGCTGATGGTAGAAACATCCCTAACAGATGACCACAGCATGAGAAAAAAAAAGAAAGAGAAAAGGAATAACTTTGGGTCCTGGGGAGGTCAGTTTACAATGAAAATTGCTCCTTATCCTGGGGCTTTAACTCTGGCTACCAACTTTCCTAGTCAAGATACTAGAAACAAAAACAAGAATTGTATCTAGGAAATATAATTTTTTATGTTAGTCCATTAAAAAATTAAAAAGCATTGGTAACCTGTGTATCAGTGTTTACAGAGCAAAGATAGTACCAAGCAAATATTTTCACTTTATTATTTTTTTGTGGTACTGTGATTTGAACTCAGGGCCTTACATTTGCTAGGCAGGTACTCTATCATTTGAGCCATACCTAAAACGCTTATTTTCACTTTAATAAGTCTAACACTCTACACTTACTTTCACTTCTATAAGCTCTAGTACTTTAACTAAAATGCTAATGTCTAGAAAATTTTACACTATGATATCATGTACACTTAGAAATTTTTCAATACCATGAAAGTTTTTATCACAACCATAACATTATATTCCATATATTCACAAAAGGAAATTTACCTAGTTTTATTTTAAAGTCTAGGTCTTAAAGTTAAATTTCAGACATTTTTACTAAAGCCTACTTTACCAGACATTACTTATAATTTTTAAAGATTCATATCACATTTTCTGAATTAGATTAGAAAAATTTATTCTTGCATATAACCCTATCTTGATTGAAGCAAAACTATAATGTTAGCACCACTTTAAAAACAAAGCACTTAGCTTACTATATACTACGTTATATCAGTTTACATTAATGTATCTGTTTACAATATGTATTAATGTTGTAGCTTATTATACTATTATACTCACCAGAAAACTTGATTTCAGTAGAGTTAAACATAGTTTTCCTAAATATCAAAGGTCCTGATTTCTGAAATGAAAAATATAGAAAGACTTTGTTAATTTTTTTCTCTGGTTTAAGATAGTTTCTTTCACTAAATTCAGAACTTTAATCCTTGCACTCTGTTGGATTAGAGTGAACAGCTTTTAAAATGCAGAGCCAGGGTTAGGGGCATGGCTCAGGTGCTAAAGCACTATCAATCCCTAGAAACCTCTCCCCCCATACCCAAAAGGAGATCCAATTGTGCAGTTCAATTGCTAAAAATCTTGTCCAATGTATTTACTCTCTGCAGTTCATGTGTGAGGATCATAAATGCCGCTTCCTTAAATGGTCTCAAGCAGGGTTGGTGCCACAAAGAAAGAGCTGCTACCAGGGGGCCATGAAGGTGGCTCAGTGGGAAAGGGCTTGCTTTGCATGCATAAAGCCCTGGGTTTCTACAGGACCACATAAGCAGAAATAGCCAGAAGTGGCGCTATGGCTCAAGTGTTAGGGTGCTAGCCTTACGCTGAAGATCTGAGGGATAGCGCACAGGCCCAGAGTTCAGGCCCCACAAAGAGCTGCTGCCATTGTAATAAGCTGCTCAGATGCAACATGAATTCTGTGCACTTGAATACTGCTCTGTTGGTAACAAAGTCAACATACTTTCCTTTGATAAAAACTATATCCTTCTTCAAACTGTTATAACCTACCTCCGTAACTGAAATGAACAAATTCCTATAGACTCTATACAAGGCCTTCTTGCCTCTCCAGAAATGTTTCACGTCTAAATTGCATGATATGCCTTTCTTCTCCTAGGACCTTCCTGATCAACTTGAAAATTTATTCAAATTTTCTCTTATATTTTTTCTTCACCTACATAGTTTTCTTACCCTACCAAACCCAGCCTATAAGCCTATAAACTCCTTCCTGGGTAGGTTCAGTAATAAAGCACCTGCCTAGTATGTATAAGGCCCTCAACTCAATCCCCTACCACTCTTATTCCACTATTAAATGAACAAATAGTTAAAAACAAGAAAAAACTAACATCAGGTTGCTCTTTCTTGGTAATCTCATCCTTCTCTCCTCACACTGCTGCTATTCCAAACCTTCTCCCCCCTCTCTTTTGGTAGTTTCAACACTAACAATAAACTCCTTAGCCCAACTGCCTAAAATGCATCTACCTACTGATAGATAAGGCAGGCTGACCTGTCAGAAACCATATACATTCCTCTCTGCTTCTCACCAATTCTTCCCACAGTCTACCTAAAGCTGAAGCCATCTAGTTGTCTAGCCATGGCTCCTTCCTCTCCATTACTCAGCCCCAATCAAGCATATTTTATTTTATTTTTATTTTTTTATTGTGAGAATACCGTACAGAGGAGTTACAATTACATGGGCAATATAATAAGTACATTTCTTATCAAGCATTGTTGCCTCCTCTTTGTTTCCCCTTCCCATCCCTTCCCATACTCCCCCCTCCACCCACCTTATTTTCCCCCCACCCCCCACCAAAGTTGTAAAGTTCATTTTTTGACATAAGGACTTGTACATCTCATTGCTGCAATGGGTCCACCTGTATCCCTAGTTAAACGATTTTTTTCCCTTCCCCTCCACAAATTATACTAACCTCAAATACAGAGAAAGCATGGGTTATACCGTGGGTGAGGGACATACAAAGCAACATAGAAATTATCTTATAAATATGTTAGAAACAATTGCATGAAGGGAAAAAAAAAACAAAAAAATTTGAATACTTATCTTGGGGTTCATTCCCTTATCATCAACTTATCTGACCTTTTCTGTCAAGCATATTTTATTTTATAAGCACTTCTCAAATATAGCTTGTCCTCTCCAAACTGCCTCCATTGTCATAATTCAGCTTCTCAACATTCCTATTTAGACTTCTGCAACAACATAACTGGTACTTCTGCCTTCATACCTGATCCTATAATTTCCTCTGAGATAGCAGCCAAAGTGAGTAGCAGTTATGTTTAACACCTCTCCCTTAATGGCTGGCTCTCTCATTCACACCTCTAAATACTACTGGTGGTCTGAGGACCTAGTCCAACCAATAAGTGGGGTATGCTGGCCCAAGGGGGGATGTTATTACTATTACTACCATCATTGCTTGGTACTAGTGCTTAAACAGCGCTCTTTACATGCTAAGCAAACACTCTTATTTCTGAGTTATATACAACCTTAGCCCCAATGGCATTTTTTAAAGTCCTGAGTTATCGCAATAATTTTAAAAAAAGGTTTCCACCTTAACATTAAACCTGAAACTCTGAAACTACTGCAAGACAGAGTAGAAGAGACACTTGAACTTACAGGCACAGGCAGGAACTTCCTGAACAGAGTCCCAGGGTCACAACTTGGAGAGAGACAACTTGGAGAAAGACTCGACAAATGGGACTACCTTAAAATAAAAAGTTTCTACAAAGCTAAAAACAGAAGCCAAACTAAAAGGACAACCAACCAATTGGGAAAAAATATTTACCAGCCACATATCAGACAAAGGCCTAATATCCATTACAAACATGGAACTCAAGAAACGTATCCTTCCAAATCTAACAAACCAATTGTTAAATGGACAAGGGAACTAGAGACTTCTCAGAAGAAAAGATAAAAATGGCAAAGAAACACATGAGGAAATGTTCACCATCCCTGGATATAAAGGAAATGCAAATAAAAACAACCCTGAAAGCCGGGCGCTGGTGGCTCAGGCCTGTAATCCTAGCTACTCAGGAGGCTGAGATCTGAGGATCGCGGTTCAAAGCCAGCCCGGGCAGGAGAGACCGTGAGACTCCTATCTCCAATAAACCACCAGAAAACCGGAAGTGGCGCTGTAGCTCAAGTGGTAGAGCGCTCGCCTTGAGCTGAAGAGCTGAGGGACAGTGCCCAGGCCCAGAGTTCAAGCCCCACGACCGACAAAAAAAAAACACAACAACCCTGAGATATCACCTTACCCCAGTCAGAACGGCCCAAATCTTAAATTCAGCCAATGACAAATACTGGCAGGGATATGGAGAAAGAGGTACCCTATTACATTGCTGGTGGGAATGTACACTAATACAACCACTTTGGAAAACAGTCTGGAGGTACCTCAGAAAGCTAAATATAGACTTCCCCTATGGCCCAGTCATACCACTCTTAGGCATCTACCCTGAACAACAGCAACCAGGATACAAGGACACATGCACCTCCATTTTCATTGCTGCACTGTTCACAATAGCCAAGATATGGAAACACCCCAGATGCCCCACTACAGATGAATGGATCCCAAAATTGTGGTACCTATATACAATGGAATATTATGCAGCCATTAGAAAGGGTAAAATAATAGCATTTGCAGGGAAATGGATAGAACCAGAGCATATCATTTTGAGTGAGGTAAGTGAAGAGCAAAGAGACAAACAGCACACATCTCCCTGATATGTGGATGCTAAAGCCAAAATGCAAGGAGATATGACAAAGTAAACAGGACTTAAGAAACAAAAGATATCTACTTAATTTGTCATACAATTTCTAAATAACTCCATGTTCTTGACCTCATAAATGGTATATGTGTACATATGCATATATATACATATATATATATACATGCACATCGGAGGGAAGCTAGGAAGGCACAGAATCAGAGAGAAACAGGGAAAAAATACAACAGAGGGGGGCCCATCAGCTACACAGGACATTGACAAAAAGGAACTAAGCAACTCAAGGGCAGTGATGGGAGGGAGGGAATGAGAGGGAAAAAGGGAACAGCTTACAGTAAGCAAAAGGAAAGAAGTGTACATATCACCCGATGTGGAAGAAATGGCTGTATTGTCAAAGCTTATAGAATTCACAAACTTAATAGACCACGATAGTGACAATTTGCCATGTGAAGGTTAAAATGTATGTGTGACTTTAAGTATCACTATGCTACAATACTGTGAAATTTGTGAAATCACTCAATCTCAATAAAAAATTATTTTTAAAAATTGAAAACGCAAAAAAAATGGTTTCCAGTTTCACTTAAAAAGGAGAACTGACAATTCCATGCCCATTCTGCCCTAGAATATTCACAAAGTGGATCCACATGTTGGTTATTCACTCCAAGAGTCATGAATCTGTAGTCTGAACCCATCTTTATTCAGATTATGATTTGCCTTAACCAGGCAGGTACTGGACTTTTGAAACTCCTGGTCTCCAGCTCAAGTTGGAACTCAGGTATGGAAAACTATCTAAACCTGAGTGATTTACCTCTCACACTTTGCATTTCACTCAGCAGAAGTACCACAAATTTATCACACACTGCTGCTGTTCCAATCCTCTCCATTTTTTTTTGGTTGGTCCTGGGGCTTGAACCCTGACCCTGAGCTTTTGTGCTCAAGGCTAGTACTCCACCACTTGGAGTCACAGCTCCATTTCCTATTTTCTGGTAGGTAATTGGAGATAAAAGTCTCACCGGGGAGGGGGGGCTGGGAAGGTGGCTCGGAAGGTGGCTCAGTGGTAGAGCACTTGCCTTGCATGCATGAGGCCCTGGGTTTGATTCCTCAGAACCACATAAGCAAAAAGAAAAAAGCCGGAAGTGGTGCTGTGGCTCAAGTGGTTTGAGCGCTAGCCTTGAGCTGAAGAGCTGAGGGACAGCGCCCAGGCCCAGAGTTCAGGCCCCACGACTGAACCCCCCAAAAAATAAAAATAAATAAATAAAAGTCTCACGGACTTTCCTTTCCTGGATGGCTCTGAACTAGCTTTTTTTAAAAAAATTTTTTTATTATGAAAATACCATACAGAGGAGTTACAATTACATGGGCAAGATAATGAGTACATTTCTTATCAAGCATTTTGTTTCCTCCTTTGTTTCCCCTTCCTATCCCTTCCCATATCCTGCCTCCCACCAGTATCCCCCCCAAAGTTGTAAAGTTCGTTTTTTCCGACATAAGGACTTGTACATCTCATTGTTGCAATGGTCCACCTGTATCCCTAATTAAACGATTTGTTTTTTCCCTTCCCCTCCACAAATTATACCAACATCAAATACAGTAATAACTAGCATATGTTTGAGACATGCAGAAAAGGTCAGATATGTTGATGTTAGGTGAAATGAACCCAAAGATAAGTACACTCAAATGTTTTTTACTTTCATGCGATTGTTTCTAACATATTTATAAGATGATTTCTTTGTTGTTTTGTATGTCCCTCCCCCACGGTAAAACCCCTGCTTTTCGCTGTATCTGAACTAGCTTTAAGATCCTCAGATCTCAGCCTCCTGAGATTATAGGTATGAGCAAGCAGTGTCTGGGCCACTCCTTTGTTGTTGTTGTTTAAAAAAATTTTTGAGACCAGCCAGGAATCTACAGAGAGCAGTATTAAGTGGCAAATTTGGTGCATCTATAATATTCCAAGTGTGCTGCCATGCATAAAGCATCTACTCATGAACTTCTTGAGAAAAGGGGGCTTTGTCTAAAATTTATCTTTGTAAGAGCAATGACCAGTCTAGTCAATGAGCATGAAGTGATACTCAAAAGTCTTCACAAACTTTATAGCCAAAAGAACCATTCTTCAGATTTGCAGTATGAAGGAAAGCACTACTTTCTTCCTGTTCTGAAGGGCAAGTCTGACAAGTTGAAGTGGGGGGGAAGGAGGGAAGAGTTTACACAAAATCAACTTACTTTTTTGCAAAGAAGGTTTTTACAGACCACTGCTGGCCACAGTTACACAGGAATAAAGTTAACCTGATTACATTATATGACCAATCTCTCTTCCTTGTGCAGGGGGAAAACAGTCATTTTCTCCCATGGACTTTGAATTCTCCTCATCCAGTCTACCTGGCAAACATCTTTACAGATAAGCTCAAGCACACTAACAGTATCATGTAGCTAATTCTCTTCGAGTATCTTATAGTTGTATTCACTATAGACACATCAAGAAACTGTATGTGTGGTTCACTAGATGTAGCTTTTTATTATTCAGAAAAATTCAGTAATGAAGGGGTACTGGTTGTATCACTAATGCACAACACAGGGCACAAACTCATTAGAATCATACAAGAAATAAATGGCTGCAATGAGTCTGAACAACACATTGGACAGCTTTTGTGATGCAGGAAGTATTTGTAGGTCTTAGTATTTTATTATTATTATTATTTTGTTTGGGGAAAGAAATTCTAACTTTAGAACTGGGACTTCATTTCAATACATATGGAATATACTCATCTAAACAGAACTGGATGAATCATCTGACCCCACATAAACAAAAGATAATGCTTCTTCCTGACTTCCTGTCTCTTTGCAATACTTTCTATAATTTTACCCTTGCATTCCTTCCTCCCACATCCTCTCCACTAACTACAGAACGTCAAGTTCTCTCATGGCCTGACTAAGAGTTTCCACCCACCCCTGCCTCCAGACTCGCCTTTTAAACACTCCTTCTCCATATCCCAACCTCATCTCCACACAGAACCCCGACACTAAGGAGCAGGAGAGAAAAATGCATGAACCCCCGAGGAAAGTAACAGTGGGAGTGACTACCGGAGAGCCGCTCCCCGTTTACTTAACACCACAAACCTCATAAAGGGCTTTCTAAAAGGACGCCGCAACCCCCGTCCTCGCCTTGGCCCTGCGGCTGCGTCCCGGCGGGACGCGGGTCGGGTCCTGCCGCGAGGGGCGCGGAGCTGGCGGCCCGCGGGCTGAACCAGCCAGGCCGTGACCCGGCCTGAGCGCGCGGCTCAGCGCCCGCGCCCCACTGCGGGATGGAGCACCCCATAAACGGAAAGAGCGTCATTTGGGAAAGGCGTCCATGCACAAGCCTGACGCTGCCAGAAGCCCAGCGCGTCCACTGCAGCCACCAGAATCGGGGAGTGTACCAGGGACCCCGGGTGGGGTGGGGTGGGCGACCCCGCGAGGGCCCGAGAGCCCAGGACACGTCACGCTCGGTCCCCACCCCCACTCACGTCACTGACAGACTCGGTCCAGAGCCCGAGCTCGGGGACGGCGTCCACAGCCACTGGGGCCCCGCACAGGAAGCAAAGAGAGACACACAGCAGTGGGGTCCCGAAGGAGAGGCGGCGGGGCCGCAGCCGGACTCCGGCGCGGCAGGCGGCGGCCATCTTGGTGCGGAAACCACACCTGGAGCTTCCTGACGCCAGCCACGCCCCAGGCCTGCACCTGGCGTAGCTCCGCCCCCGGAAGGCGGGCCCACGTCGAGGAAGCGGGCCTTGGGCCTCGATCCGGAGTTGGAGGCCTGAACCTGCAGGGAGGCTCAGTGCGGGTCCGGGCCGCGGGCCTGAACGCGGAAGTGAGGTTCAGAACTGGGGCTCCGCAATAAACTAGAGGAAGCGGGCGTGGGTGGGGGTGGAGGAGAGTGGCTACATAAGGGTAGGGGGCGTGGCCAGGCAAGGGCCTAGCGTGGTGGCGGACCTCATGGGGTAGTGGGTGGAACCGAGTGGAGGCGGAGTCTAGTGGACAGTGGGCGGGACGAAAGCGTAAAGGTGGAGCTAAGTGGGGATGGAGCCTAGCGGGCCGAGGGGGGCGGGGCAGAATGTAAAGGCGGGGCCGGGTGTGGAGGCGGAGTCTAGTGGGTGGAGGGGGCGGGAGGGAAGGCGGGAGGCTGGATGGTACCCCGGAGTCTCGACGTTGTTGAGGGTCTGAGCGAAGAAGTGGAGCACGGACACGGGAATGGGTACAACTAGCCGCGCCGGCGGGATGGGTTCAGGCAGGTCAGGGTGGAGGTGGAGCCTGGCCGGCTAATTTTTTCCTGTTTCTTGCATCTTCTGCACCAGCCCGACTCCATGCTCATTTGTAGAGAAACAAAGCTCTCACGAAGTCTATGGCAAGTGTCCAGAACGTCTTGAGAAGGGAGTCAGTTAAACCCAGAGCCCTGTGCTGTGAGCATTTAACCTTTTTAGGACAGTTAATAGTTTTCAGAACAAATAAAGTGCTCTGATTCCTAAAGCTCAGCAGGGATTACTTACATGGTACCTTACCTGACATTTTCTACTGTGAAAACTGAAAACCTCGTACTGCTGTCCAAAGGGATGGTAGGGGAAACACAAAGGAGGAGGCAACAATGCTTGATAGGAAATGTACTCATTACTGTAACCCCTCTGTACAGTATTTTTACAATAAAAAAAAATTTAAAAAAGGATTAGCTCATTCATTCTCTAATGTAAGTAATGCTCAAGAGGCTGCTGATAGAATACTACATAAACATTTAGGTAAAAGAGGATGCATTTATAGTCAAGAAACCCAGGCTGCCTTAGTCACCCAAATCACTCTCCAGTAATTATTGAAGACCTGCTATATACTAGAGATTGCATGTACATGTGTGCTCTTTCCAGTAAGCATTGCAATCAGTTCTACGTTGGTGGGAATAACTGTTTCACAGGATCATATGGAAACATCCTCTAGAGATTTAGATGGCAAGTCAAGTGGCAAAAGAAGAAGACAGTTAAGAACTATAGTAATGTTAAGGGTGTGAAAGGTAAATTTGAATGTGTTTTAGCTAAGAAAGAACAATCTGTGCCAAGAAGTGGAGAAAGAAAAGACCTTCCAGGTTGTAGGTTTTGATGGGAGATGGGAGTGGCAATATTGGAAATATTAAAACAGTAGCAAAGTATACAGGGACTTCAAAGCTATGGTAAGATGATGATGCTTAAGTCTGATGACATTAGAAAGATAAAAATGTTTTTGAAGAGGAAAGAAATGTACATATCACCTGATGTGGAACAAACTGTTGTATTGCCAAAGCTCATAGAATTTACAAACTTTATAGACCACAATAATAACAATTTGCCTCATGAAGGTTAGAATGTGTTTATGACTTTAAGTATCATTCTCACAATACTGTGAAATTTATGTAATCACTTAATCAGGATAAAAATTATTTTTAAAAAAGCTGAATGTAAAAAAACGTTTTTGAAGCAAGAAGGATGAGATGACTAGAAATGAGATGATCTTGCTATCATCTGAGAACTGTATGTAAGCAATGGAATGACCAGTTAATGATATTACAATAATATAAAAACAAAGTCTTAGCTGGGTACTGGTAGCTCATGCCTCTATTCCTAGCTATTTGGGAGACTTAGATCTAAGGATCACAATTTGAATACAACCAGGGCAGGGAAGTCCATAGTATGTTTGTCTCTCACTACCAAAAAGTTGGAAATGGGACTGTGGCCCAAGTGGTAGAGCACCAGCAGTGAGTGAAAAAGCTAACAGACAGTGCCCAGTGAAGGATTGACTCCCACCTTATTCCTCCAGAGCAGGCAAAGCACTAGGTTCCTGCTTGTTCACAGGCTGGCCACTGGCAGGGCATTCCACTTTGGGCCTGGCCAAGGATGCCGCTCTTGGCCCCCAAGAGACCATAGCCCATTTTTTAAATTTTCTGCTTCCTTAAGACCCTTATAAACCTGGCCCCAAATCCAGTCCCTTGCAAACCTCCAAACCCCCAGGAAGGTCTGTGTCCCTTGCTGGCAATAAACAGTCCTAGCCTGTTGACAATTGAGTCTGGTCTATTCCTTTTTCATTCCCCTCCATTTTCCTAACACCCAGCCTCCTCTTGTCTTTTGCAGCAACACAGATGGAACTAAAAGATATTGTGTTAGAGAAATAAGCCAGGTACAGAAAAATAACATTGGTCTCCTATGTAGAGCTAAAAAAGGTTTTCTCATAAAAATAGAATAATAGTGGGCACTAGAGGCTAGGAAGTATTAGGAAGAGGAACAGAAAGGGAGGCTGGATAATGAATTATAAACAACAACAACAACTAGGAGAGTCAGGCACCAGTGGTGCATGGTCACAATCCTAGCTACTCAGGAATCTGAGCTCTGACCATCAAGGTTCAAAGCCAGCCTGGTAGGAAAGTCTGTAAGATTTTTATCTCCAAATACCAGAAAACCAGAAGTAGCATTGTGGCTCAAAATTGTAGATCCCACACCCAAACTCTGAGTTCAAGCCCCATGACTGACAAAAAAAAACAATAACAACAAAAAACAGCAAAATTAGGAGGGTGCCTAGCATGTGGAAGTACCTGGGTTTGATCCATATCACTTGAAAATACAAAACAAAAGCCTTCCAGCACATCAAAAATATGGGTATTGAAAGATTAACTGAAAAGAGTATTAGGCTTAGCCAGAGAACCACGCAGACATCCAGGTACAGAGAACAAAGAAAGTTTTATTGTGGGGAAAGGGGGCTGGCAAGACTCCTTCTCACAAGGGAGAAGTGAGAAGAAGCACCGACTATTGTCTGAGGTGACCTAAAGAACCTAGGAGGCTTAGGAGGGGCTCGAAGGGGCTAGGAGGCAGAGACCCTGGTGTAGACATGTGGGCCACAGGCTTCATCATGGTGGACTAGGATTTATGGCTGCTATCCAAATAGTAGATAAGGGGTCCCGCAGCTGTGCAGACCTGAAGGTCACTCTATGGGGCTCTTGTTGCCCCAGAGAAGTGCCATCCCAAGGTAAAGAGGGTTGGAAGTTGTTTATTTACTGCCTTTACTACATGGGCCTAGTGTTGCCTAGGAAGGGAGCATGCTAAGTTGTGGAGAAGGGAAGGAGTGAATAAGCTATGGGAAGGGAGCGCATTTCACTAATAGGTATCATGTATCAACTATAATTACTTATGTGTGTGTGCGGGTCCTAATGCCTGAACTCAGGGCCTTGGCACTGCCCTAAGCTTTTGTGCTCAAGATTTGCACTCTACCACTCAAGCTACAGCTCCACTTCTAGCTTTTTGGTGGTTAATTGGAGACAAGAGTCTCATAGACTTTCCTGGCCTTGACTAGCTTTGAACCATGATTCTCAGATCTCAGCCTCCTGCATTGTTACAATTATAGGAGTGAGCTACCAGCACTTGGCTCAACTATAATTTTTGAAAGCATATTACAATAATTTTCATAGTTAAGAATAGCATAGTATTTACGACATAAAAGAAATTAAGAGGCTAAGCTTGGTATCACATGCCTGTAATTTCAATACTTGGGAAGCTTAGGCAGGAAAATCAAAAGACCTGAGGACAGCATGAACTACATAGACATTTCTCAAAAAGGGGCGGGGGGGGGGGGGAGTAAGAAGAACAAGAAGAAGAAAAGAATGAGAAAGAGGAGTTTGGAGAAAAGAAGAAAGAGAGAAAGAAGAAATCATTAAAATTATTTAAGCAACAAAATGAGACTTAAAAAACTTGGGAGAAGCCAGGCACCAGTGGCTCATGCCTGTAATCCTAGCTATTCAGGAGGCTGAGATCTGAGGATCACGGTTCAAAGCCAGCCCAGGCAGAAAAGTCTGTGAGACTCTTATCTTCAATAAACCACTAGAAAACCAGAAGTGGTGCTGTGGCTCAAGTGATAGAGCGCTCGCCTTGAGCTGAAGAGCGCAGGGACAGTGCCCAAGCCCAGAGTTCAAGCCTCATGACCGACAAAAAAAAAAAAAAAAGAAAGAAAACTTGGGAGAAAAAAGTGATAGAATTCAAAGGAGCTTGGGGAGGAGGGTCTGGGGGGAGGATGGGAAGGGGTGGGAAGGGGAAACAAAGGAGGAGGCTACAATGCTTGATAAGAAATGTACTTATATATCTTGCCCATGTAATTGTAACCCCTCTGTACAGTATTTTCACAATAAAAAATAATATACTTGTTTTAAAAAAAAAAAAAAGAATTAAGGGCTGGGAAGGTGGCTCAGTGGTAGAGCGCTTGCCTTGCATGCTTGAGGCCCTGGGTTCGATTCCTCAGTACCACATAAGCAAAAAGAAAAAAGCCAGAAGTGGCGCTGTGGCTCAAGTGGTAGAGCGCTAGCTTTGAGCTGAAGAGCTGAGGACAGCACCCAGGCCCAGAGTTCAGGCACCACGACCAGACCCAAAAAACAAAAAAGAAGAATTCAAAGGAACTATACATTTGACTTATTATTTATGCTTTTTGTGGTGCTTGAACTCAGGGCTTGGGCACTGTCCTTGAATTTTTGCACTCAAGAATAGTACTCTACCACTTGAGCCACAGATCCACTTCTGGCTCTTTTTTTTTTTTTTTTTTTTAATTTTGTCGTTAATTAGAACTAAGAGTCTCATGGACTTTCATGATTAGATGGCTTTGAACAGTGACCCTTGCCTCCTGAGTAGCTAGGATTACAAATGCATGAG